TTGACGCCAACATCCAAGACAACAACGGTCGTACTCCTCTTCACCTAGCGGCGCTATCAGACTCTTCCAACTGTGCATATCAACTGCTAAGAGATGGGACGAATGTTGACGTTAACATCCAAGACAAAGAGGGCCGCACTCCTTTCCAGGTCATCGCATTTTCAGATTGGGAAGATTGGATCCTGAAGCTTTTGGAACACGGTGCAGATCCTTCAAATCTCAAGAGATGGTGGCATTCTCGGCAAGATTCACGTACGGAGCAAGAAATACCTGGATATTTGAAGTTGTGGGAGAATGCCGCAAATGGATTTGATTATGGAACTATCGACGCATTAGTGAAAGTCATTTTGATGGCTGAGGAACACGCAACTTTTGGTTCCATTGTATGGGAATGGGAGATACCGGCTGTCCTCGATTTGAGCGACCCCGCTAGAGTAGCCGGGGGTGAGGTTCAATGGCTGGATCCAAAACAGCATGTCGTCCTCGTAAACAATCAGTCGAGCACGGACTACATGGAGAAACCCGCAATATGTGTTCAGGCCACGACGTGTGCTGAGTATCTTACACAACGTTGGAAAACTGAATGGTGTGGTTTCCTATTAGGGCTCTTGGACCTAGTAAAGCTAGCCGATCTAAACACAGAAAGCTCCGGTACGCTCTTCGATTTGAGAGTTTATCTTCTGCCGCTATAATTCGTATCGACCGCTAACAGGAGAACAGGATTCAGCGTCTGCGCTCTTCGTGCTGGTAATGCCAGAGAAAAGCCACTGGTTTCGGTGACTTGTTACCAATCCAGCGTCTTGATCAATTTCAGCAAGAAGGGTCTCGTGGAAGTGGTTGATCTGATCGAGGCCTTGGATTGGCTTTGCAAGGCCATGCGCATGCCGAGAACTGAGGATTCCCTGAGCTTATCGACAACTACTTGCCGTCTGGAACGCCATTCGATGACCGAAGTAATTGAGTTCGGTCCACTTAGTGGCTTAGCAAGTCGAAAGTACGTTCTCAGGCCGTGCGTTGATCTTAAAATATCCCCTCTACCGCACTCGGACCACAACTGCTGGCACGACCTATTCCGTTCCTGTATCGTGGCGGATTCTGCCTTACCCCGATATCGTGATTTCGGAAAGGGCCTGGAGATACCTTTCGACCTAATGGTATCACTTGCGGCTGTCGAGTTCTATTTGATCATTGACGGCGGGGTGGTATTCATTGGATACCAGACTGTGCTATTCCCAACGGCAATTCAAGGCGACTGTGCACAATTTCATTCGATTACGAGTAATAATGGCCAAATCAACCCATATGCGCTCGACCTCGGAGAAAGAGTGTTGACGGAGGACCCTTCCCAGTTTAAAGCGATGCGATGCTTTCTAGGATGGTGCGAAGCGGCTCAGATCAACCTTGGAACCAGGCGATTACCTGCCGCAGTCAAATACTCCGGTGGCCGCAGTCACGGAGAGTCTCTGCAGTTAGACGGTTACTCAATACTAGCCCAAGTTGGAGCATCTGCTCCTCTGTCAGCTGTCTTAGGGCTGCAGACCAACTTCAAGTACGCATCCCACCGCCGCCAATTTACGCCGCTCGGCAATTATTGCAAGCTGCTTCAGGATACATCCCGGGAATTAGCGATTGTTTACGATACCGCCCAACGTCGAAGTTGGTTAGTACCGAAGCTGAGCCTGCTTTTGCACATGAGCCATGCGTATACTCGGGCCCGTGCTGGTATACCAGATAATCGAGTACCATACGTCGAACCGCACGCTGATGCGATCGAAGTCATAAACGTATTGGAGCCATTAGGTGACGCACTTGTCTGTGGAGTAAAGACAGATAAATTCTTATTTCGGGAGCTGATGCTGGGGCTCAATACGAATTTACTGAAGACTGTGGCCTCGATACGAAAGAGCAGCGGCAAAAAGCTCTACGGGTTCGAATTCATGGACGTCGTTACTGAACCTGGCCGAGGAACATGCATGAAGAAGCTGGAAGTGCTATCGCAGGGGAAAAACTGGCTCGAAATTGTGAACGCGGTAGATGCAGTGGTTGTGTGTTCGGAACTCGGTGAAGCTATCACTGCTGTGGAGGGAAGCGGCCGGAAGAGTACCAATTGCAGCAAGATTCCAATGGACCTCGATTACCTCGCTGCAACACTTCCATGCTTGGCTCAGTTAGCGGGGCGCGAAGGAGGAGAATTGAGCACTGGGAGTCAGCACGTTAAAATTGCCGAGAACACCTTGTGGGAGTTGAGGGGTGACCCTTTCGGGGTATGTCAGCATAATAACGCCAACGACACATGCTGGAAGAGATCCGACCTAGTCCAGCGGCTGGTACCAGAGAGATATTTTGGATTCATGGGCCCTGTCCTTGCACCAAAACATTCACCTCTGAAACAGATTCCTGTATCTGGGGCTGTAGTATTCGGAAAACGGGGTCTTTAACTGCTGATATAAGCAGTTGCACGCTCCTGCTATCTTTCTCTAGACCCTTTATGGAACAAATAGCGACTGTCGCTGGCAACGGCAGTAGCGCAGAGAAAAGGAAGTCTTGTCAGACTATAGAAGAGATATAGATAGAGATGCACAAATTACCACCGCTCCGGTACTCAAGACAAGCCCTCAGTGTCCTAGTTCCTCTTGTCACTGGTCCTTGAGAAATGACATAGCTATTTGCCAAATCAAGACGTGCAAGGGCTGTTTGCGGACATCAGATGAACGGATCAAAAAAATTCCTCAGGGGGATCCTCCGTTCCCACAATCCTCCTCTCAACCACAAAATCCTTTTCATAGCCAGGCCCTGGCGTTGTCACGAAATTGCGCGGCCGCGTAAGTATGAAGCGCATTGTCAGCATCTCGAGTCTGGTGTTCTTGTCTAGAAACTGTCGGTAAAGTGCTGTTGCGCGGCACTCCCCAGCTTCTTCGATGAGGTACCCGTTGGGCAAGCGGACGTGAATGAACTCGCGATTCTGGATGCCGAATTCAAGTTCGAGTTCGAGTGTGCGGAGACGGCGGAGTTGGAGGATGTGGTCGATGGTGAGGTCCGGCTACCAGACAGACATCAGCGGCCACAACGTCTGAAGGCAGGAAATGGGAGAGCTATGACTCACCCAGTATTTAGGAATCCGATAACTCTCATAGCCCGCCTTATTCTCCTCCTCCTCCGTCTCAATCTTTAGAGCCAAACGCTCTACACGAGCGCACTGCTCAACAAGGCTACGGACCTCCCCTGCATTCCATCCTGGGGCCTGGAAGGGAGTTGTAACATGCAACCGCGCAGTTGGCCACTTCACAGACAAGGCTGTCAATACGGCTTCCGGGATTGCGGAGCGCATGTTCCAACTATTGTTCGTCAGAATCCCCGTAGCTTTATTGACGGAGCAGAGTCCAAGTCCAGCTTATGAAAAGTCTCGTAGATCTTCAAGATTATGAAGTACCTTGACAAACACTTGTGCGGAGAGACAACATATCTCTTGCTCAAAAGGTCCGACCCGGAGATGCCGCACATGCTGCGCGACCGCATCTTCTGGGTCGCACAGCCTGCTGCAGATGATCTCATAGACTTCGTCTGCTGAGCGAGTTTGGTCGTGCAGAACTATGTTCCGGAAAGCAACGGGCTAGCAGAGGTATCTGCATGCTCGGGAGACCAAACGGAAGTATGGAGGTCCTCCTCCTCGAACTGCTACAACGTTAGCGTAGAAAGAGGCTCAGGGAGTAGTGCATCACATACCAGGTCGAGTATGAGAAGGAACACAGCGAGCGGTAACCCAAGCAAGCCGAACTTGTCCGCCATGTGGTGACCCAACGAATTCGAGATGTCTTGTCGGCTGAGAGCGATATGGCGTGGTGGCTAATTATACCCTCAGTGTGTTGGGTTTAGATTGATTACTTCTGTGCTAACCGAATCCGGTATGGCGCTCCTGGGGGCGAGCGATACCTTTACAGTGCAGCTCGATATCCGTTTGTGGAACTTCGTTTCCAGAATTTGAGTTTCATTCTCAGTGCCGTTTTCATACGTTTAAACACTAGTCGTTAGGGACAAATACACTAGGTTAGATACATCTACTAATGGAATGTAGAAGGGTGTTGTTGTGTAAGTGTACGTCTTGGAGGTATAAGTGGGCTTGTAGTTGGGGATTCTGGCGCAGTAATATTAGACATGCTTGATCTCCGCACCTAGTCAAAGAAATTAGCATGGGTAAGAATATTTTATATGGCACAAAGTGAGCGTACAGTCCTGGCGGGATTCCAGGCCACGAACCGAGCATGCTGAAGACCGCGAATTTGGTTTCGATGATATCACATGGGTCTAGAAGCACTGAGGACGTTAGTTTGAGTGAGTACAGAAGAGGGAATACCCACTGTTGGAGACATTCGCCATAACATACTGGTTGCAGCTTGATACAATACCCGGCTACCGGAAGTGCTTGACCATCACGCAGTATTCTTGACCTTAGAGCTAGTCAGTCTAAATATCGCCCAAGGTGGGCCATACTATACTCACCAAGAATCCAATTTTGACAGTTTGAGCCAACGCCGGGGTTCCAAGCTGAGAACTGGTCTATACCAATGCCCCACGCAGCTATGAACTCAGCGCAAGTAAGCCCGTGGTCAGGCGTATCTGTCTTTCATGAACTCTGCTCCATGTTGCCCACTTCATCTACCAGCCCGACCGGCGTGGTGCCGTTTCCTAATTCTGGCTCTGCAGGCGCGGTGCAACTGGCTGAACTCGGCGCAGTCCAATACGTCGCAGCGCAGTAGAATATCGCAAAGGAAGCTCCAGGAATAGCCACGGTCGATACCAGGACTGTATTCCCCGCTGAGTGATAGCCCTCTAGGTGGCTAAGGTTCTACAACCTGGCTTTTCAGAGTTCGGTTGGGGGCTGTGTCGGATTAAGTGCTGCAGCCGTGAAAGGTCGGGCCGGATCGTTGCTTAGTCCAACAGGGACTACACAGGACCGACCCTTACGAACACCCTTTCCATACATCCGGGGAGCACGGCAGAATTTAGTCACCGAGAAGGATGCAGGTACGCAGAAGGAGCTCGCCTTCTCTCCGACAATTATGGATAGTCGCAAGGTCCGATAATCAATTAGACGACTGCCACCACTGCCTTTGCATGGATCTGCATCCTTTGCGCAAATACTTAGACGCCATAATTTCTACCTACAGTTTCGCTACCGAGCCGACGTTTGGCTAGCCGATCCTACTAGCAATTATACGCACCCGGCCCAATTCCCTAGATTTCTCGGAGTCCAAGCATTAATCAATGAACCACACCCTCGGAATCCTTAGGTCACTCTCATTCTGGAATATGAAAAACTTATTTGCGTTTGAACCTGCTATCTTCACGTAGCATTTTGCGGCGTCTTTGCTCCTCAGTAGAAAATGGACAGTCTTCCAGCCGGCGTCGATCTCTCCAAGGTACCTATCGCGCCCAACCCTAACGGCGAACCACCAAATTTCATCGATCCGTCCTCTCTCCTGACAGCCGTGGAGGGAGTTGGCATATCGCTCATTGTCGTGAGCGTGTCTGTGCGCCTGTTCGCTAACTGGCGGCATACGGGGAGGCTTAGAATCGATGACTGTATGGCCTGTACAAGTCTCCCGTCTCTGCACTGTGGCTGACACGTCCGTGGACAGACCTCTGCTTGCTCGGCGAGGTTATTGGCATTACAAACTGGGCCTTGAACTACAGTCGTAGGTCTGATCTTCTCACTAGTGAATGAACGCATCACTAGCCCCAGAGTGCGTCAAGTTCTTTGCACGAAGGCTGACATGGAGTTTAGTCGCCCGCGATTGTGCCGCCAAGCACACATGGGACGTCCCTGTCTCTCTTATAGCCTCGCAATCGACCCTCGAAGTGTGTGAGAGCCTTTCAAGCATTAGCCAACCTTGGAAGTGTCTAACGCGCAACAGCGAATAGGCCCCACTCAGGTGCTTGGTGGTCTCGCCTTGTGGGCTGTCAGAACAGCGATCCTAGTGCTCTTCATCCGCATCTTCCACAGCATCCGCTGGATGCGGATTACCTCGTATTGCCTCATCGTTATCACTGCGCTATTCTACGCCTCCAGCCTCATTGTGATCGTTGTCTCCTGCGTCCGTCGAAAAGACCAAGCTTCGCAAATCATCCCGCCAATGGAGACGCTCGTTATTGCCGCGTATGGCGTCCTCATCGATATCACCATCTTCGTTCTGCCGCTACCGAGTATCAGCAGCCTTCGACTAGATGCGCGCAAGAAGATTGGGATCGTAGTCGTCTTTCTAGTGGCTTTTCTGTAAGTCTAAGCCGTTAGAAGCGCTCTGAGGTGGTCTTTGCTGACACAACGCACACAGGACCGTCATCACCAGCGTAGCATCGTTCGCCTTCAGAGTCAAGCTTTATCTGGGCAACGATCTCGTGTGGAACGGCTTCAATATAGTCATTACGGGGTAAGGGCATGCACGTGCTATGCAGACCCACATCCGCCTCCCGTTTCCGTGCTGTCTGCGAAAGATATATCTCAAATAACTAACGCTACCACAGCTTCGCAGAAGTCTTCGGCGCCGTCATCGTTAGCTGCGCCCCCGCTTTATCCTCGTTCTGGAATCATTTCTTTACGCAGACGAAATTCTATGCCGCGCTGCGCTGCGGCTTCTCGCGCCGGAAGCGCATCGGAGCGAGTGAGAGCGGGAAGCCGAATGCCGGGGCCAGGAGAGCGATGTTTCAACGGACATTCCGTATTGTTAATGAGGAGTCGTGCGGTGCGTCTGGAGCGAAAGATGTCGATACCCTCGGGGACTCCGATGAGGGGTGTTGTTATCCGGTCGACGGGGATTGATCGGTCGAGAGCGAGCATGTAGGAGTGCATGCGGGAAGGAAACTTTTGCGTGAATTTCATTTCGGGCGCGTTATCCGGAGCTAGCGTGAGGGGAATTGGGCTCTTGATTAAAGTCGTGCGTCTTGATGGGATTATGAGATACTTTGTCAATGACGAACGCATGTGAGTAGTGTCTAGAATTCCATGCAAAGCTCCACTCGAGATACAGGTTTCAATGTTACAAGGCAGGGACCATCCAAAGATTACAAAGGTCCAAGCGATCTGGGGTACCTTGGGGGTGGTGCAGAGCGAGAGTTACTGTACCTAGGTAAATATACCGCAAGCGAAGAATCAGACACCGGGCGTTGGAATCCTGAAAGAGAAGACGAAGCGTAGAATTTAGATCTTGACGTTCATGGGTATATGAAAGGGAGCATTTCCATACAATCGACCGCCAAACGAGGCCAACAGGGAGAAGGAAATGACGTTACGTAGAACCCAGCGCATGCTAACCACAGCTGTAATAGGAGGCTTCGTCCACTTGCGTCGCCCACGTCAGCGATATCAACCTATGTGCATTGTCCGCATCGGATGCATCAAAAGACGTTGCGCAGTTTGACTGACTCCACGCAAATCCGCTGCAGGGATCATATCATTGTGGAGGCGGCGAGTGCATCAGACCCTGGCCTTCCGGGCGCACGGGGTGCGGGAGATGTCTAGTCTCCGTCCGCGGTGCAACGTACTCCGGAAGATCCGGCTCGTCGTGCTCATAGGGCGCTTCTTTGGCCTTATTTTCCTGCTTCTTTCGGCGGAGAAAGTAGAGGATGCCGAGGAGAGCGAAAACAACAAAGGCGAATACGCCGACGCCGATGCCGGCTTTTGCGCCTGCGGAGAGACTGGTCTTACCCGTCGATGCGTCGTCGGTGGTAGATTCTGTGGTCGCGCCGGAAGTACTCGTCGGCGCTGGAGTGGAATTGAGAAACGCTGTGACAGTCTTCTCGCCGTTTTCGCCGGCTTGGTCGAGCAGGAATTTGCAGTCTCCGCTGGGTGCTGGCCTTGCGCCTCGAAGTTCGGCTGTCCCATCCAAATCGCAGCTGTCATCGCCATGGGTTTGCCAGTACTCGTTTACAGCCCATGAGTACTGGGCTGTGAGATTGCACGAACTAAAGCGGTAAATAAATGCGCTGGGGAGATTTTGCGAGCTCGGATAAGTACCTGAAGGCTCCGTACTGGCCAGTTCCTCCATCCGCCACAAGACCAACACAATTCTGGGTAAGATTGTTCCCACAGGGCTCCATGATTTTGTTCAAGGCTGTCTCCGGATCGAGACTCTCTATACTTCCCTTCTTCGCGGTGCATAGCAGTGTGTCCATCATGCAAGAGCACAGCGGAGTGTACGGCTGTGGTGGGAGAAGAGGACTGGCGAACCGGACTGCGGGGCAGGCGGCGCCGGGGGTGGCCGTGGGAGTATACTCTGCTGAAGCGACAAAGGTGGGTGATACTGTGGCCATGACAGACGATAGGGCCGAATATGCTTCCCCGGGGATTATTTCTTCGCCGCCGGCGCCCACAGACACGAGGCCTATATCGCATCAGTTGGGGATGGCACGCTTGGCGGTGAAGAGGAATAAACTTACCCCAAGTAGAGTTCCTAGTTACCTCTTGGTAAAAACCCAGCACGACGGTACCACTTAAGCTCGCCGTCGCATTAATGGCAAAGAACCGGTATACGTACCCGAACGTTCGATCGTCATTTGATGGATCCGTAGTGTAGCATCCGGTTTCAATGCCGAATACGGGAATGCTGGCGTTGCGATACAATTCGATGGCCGCATCGATATCTGTTTGCGGCGTGCAACTTGTAATATCTGTGAGGTCGGCCATTGCAAGGCCCAGAAAATCTGCCTGCGCCTCTTGGCATGCCATATAACTTAGCTCTGTGTAGCCTGAATAAGGGTACAACATAGCCGAGGTAAAGCCAATGGGTATATCCCGATATGCCTTGTCGCGCATGTGCTGTTTGACATCGCGTACGGCTGCCTTTAGGAACGGTAGGGTCTGGTTATAACGTCTTTCCCCGACGTCAAACCCAAGCACGTTCGTAAAGCTAGCTAAAGAATCCACGACGCTAGTGTATTGAGCGAGAGTGAAGTCCATCCATCTACCGGTATACGGGTTTATGTAGGCGGTAGGGCTCCCCAGGGTCGTGACGACGTATATTCCGGCATCGGCTAGGGCGTTCATGCAAGTGGTATGGTCGGCATTGGCATCGACATAGTATATCCGGAGGACGTTGATGTTCAAGGCGGTCATGTAAGGGATGTCTCGCAGGCATGTGGGACCATCAGCGAGCGGATCGATTCTTTGCGTACTGTCGCCGCTGGCTATCGTAGATGGATCGTATGTGAGACCGCGGACCTGGATCCATCAGTCATTACTTGTAAAGCGGTGTTTTAAGCTAGACTTACGAAGAAAGCTGATCCGCTCGTCTTGTAGAAAAAGTGCGACCCTTTAATAACGATTGGATCTAATTCAGCCGTAGAAAATAGTGCTAGATGTAAAACTAGCAGCAAGTAGCTGAACCGACCTAACAAGACTTGCATTATGTCGCTTGATATGCTTCGTCCGCAGTCTTTGCGTAGGAGGCCGCCTGTTACTGTGGCATTTCAACAATTGAAACGAAAGCGAGGTGGGATCAACGAGCAAAATCGCAGAGGGTTACGGGCAGTGGCCAATACATCACATGGTATGAGACCGAGGGGATGCTGTGGCACAGCATGCGGCACAGTGCCATGCCCCCTGCCGATGAAACTCATCCTAGAACCGCGATTGGGCATTCTCTCTTGGCAAAGGATTGAGGGCGCAGATGGCCATGGCTGGCATGCAGTCCATACCCTATAAAATGCCGGGGGAGTCGGCCAAAAACATCAGGCAAAGCCCGATGCAGGCGAAGCAGCAACTCCCTCGTTAAAAGCCACAGTACCCATTAGGATACCGGGTTCGCATCAGTGAAGGGGGCGGTTGAGAATCCACGGGCGTCAATCAGCGGAAAATTTGACTTGAGGGTCGTTTAGTAGGTGGTGGCGAAATGCACCTCGTAAACACTCCATCCAGGGCGTACGGTGGGGTGGATCATGCTGAAGACTGGGCCGTATCGCTGAAGATATAACATTAGAATAGCCGCGTCCAGTCAGACGCAGGGCCAGGCCCTTCCGATGGATCCCCTAGATTTCGCTGTTTGGAAGCCTACATCATCGCGATGTTGATGGCTGAGCCATAAGCGCGGGACAGTCGCGTCACGAGCTTATCACTATAAGAGCCTGGACCGACGAAGAGGACGGTTTGGATCTCGTGGTGGTGGCTGCTACTCGGAGTGGGGCCGGAGTCGGTGTGGGCCCATGTTTGAGGATCCCTAGGCGGGCGCGAAATGATTGGGGCAGAGGAGTCGATGCGTGACGTGCAGGTATTGCCCGTGCTTCGCCGCAAGCGACATCGAGTATGATGGCAGTGGGCTCAACCGCGCAGAGTGAGATGAAGATTTGAAGGTGTTGACGTGGCGGACGGAAAGTGTGCTGATGACATAATGAAATACCGGCTCATCATTGGTCGGTTTTAGTGGCGTTCCTTTCAGAGTTGCAGACCCGCGACCGACGCCGGCTACCAGCAGTAAAATTATAACAGTGAAGAGCTAGAAGAAAGAGCGGTTATTCATGGATATATTGAAATCATAGTGTTGAGATTGGAGTATTAGCCATGGTTGATTCGTCGCGCCAGCGAATCTTCGCTCCCCGTACCACTTCAGCAGACTCCATACCAGCAGGGTGCCATTATCCCCGTCCTCCACGCTCTGCCGGGATACAGCATGATCAAGCTGAGTCGGGCCAGCCTCAGGTGCCTGAAAGCTGCTGGATAAACGGGCGCACCGCCAACACACATGGCCCCGCGGATAAACACGGCCCCGCAGACATTCTCCCCATCATCCATTTTTAAGTCTCATCTCCTGCTCTAATACCATAACCCTCATTTAGCTCTCGACAACGTAGTCCTCCACCCAACCAACTCTATACTCGCCGCCTTCTCCCCATCAAACTCAAACACCACCGTGTCCAGCGGCAGCCCCGCATACCTCCACGGATCACCCCAATTCCAGCTTCCACAATCCATATCCGCGAACGTGCTGTTCGGCCTCTTGCCATCGAACAATATCCTCCAGGTCTCCCTCGGCGCCCTTAGAGAATCCGGATCCGTCGGATACAGTCTCGCACTGAACTCGTCGCAAGTTGCACATCTGAGCTTCGCCAGCCGTTCAAGAACAGGAATGCTGTTGACGCCGAAAGACGTGATTGACATGCCTGGGCCGTCATCGAGCGTTAGGGTGATGCTGCTGTTGGATTCGGGCATCGAATAGGTGCCAGCGTATTTGGTCGTAGCTTGCAAGCGCGCCTCGTGGTCCGCAAACGCAACGAGCGGCTTGACGACCAAAGGCAGAATATCGACGATCGCTGCATCCGAGGTGTTTCCAGCGGCGCTGATACTGATTGCGATGTCGTACTCCGGAATCAGAACCGCGAAACTAGAATACCCGGCTACGCCACCTGCTTTCGTATAGAGGTTGATCGGGCGCGAAGCTCTCACGTCCAGGTCCGTGGGTCGTAGGATCTCCCACGGTGCGCCGACGAGTTGGTGAAGGGTTGGCAGCATGGAGCGCGGCTGGAGCCACTTTCGTGTCTCAACTGGCGAGAGCAGTTTGTGGTGGAGAAGGGCTTGGAGGAAGACAAGCATGTCGTTTGGCGTGCTCCAGAGTCCGCCTGCGGGATTGAAGTTTCCGAAGTTAGGAACGGCCCATTGCGCCCCTTTTTGAGGTAGAACGGCGCTTTTCGGCTCCTTTGGCATTTCGAATGTGGAGTGCGTCATTCCGATGGGGTCGAAGATGAGATCTTCAATGATGCGATCAAACGGCTTCGAGTGTGCGGATTCGAGTGCCATCCCTAGGAGGTTGTATGCGATGTTGGAATACAGTGGCCCGAAATTGGGTGAGTGCGGCCAATACGCTGGATGGTTGAACATGTCGAGGACTTCTGAGCGCGTGCATACGCGACCACCTGGAAATGGATCACAGCCTGGAAGTGGTTCCTGTATAACACCCATACCTAGTTGCACAGGGTTGAATCCGGGGATGAAGGAGAGATCGCCTACGTAGCCCTAGCACCAGGTTAAATCCCAGTTGCCGAAGCTCGGAGAGATGCAAGGATCACGTACAAACCTCCCAAGGCCGCTCGTCTGCCCCGCCAATGCCCCAATCGTCACTTCTCCATAGCTTCTCGCATCCAGTTCAGGTATATGTTTCGTTATCGCATCCTCCCACCCAATCGTCTCCTTACTCAGCAGCACTGCCAGTACCGTGAACAGCTTCGTCACACTCGCAATCCGGAACTTAGTCTCGTGCAACGGCTCGTGTGGGGTACTGTAGCCGGGCAAACCCGAAGCGTGCACCTCAGGAGAGGGCTGAGCTGAATGTGAAGATCCCTCCGCCGCATGCGCATAGTCGATCAGCGTCAAGTTCCCAATGGACGCTTTAACCACAAATGTGGTGCTGGCGTACCAGTCATACGCTTCCAGAGAGTGGTCTGGAGTGCATGGCGATCGATCAAAGGGGAGGAATGGAGGCGAAGCCAGCGGACGGTCGGGTGGTGGAAGGGATGGCCCGGGTGGTGGGCAGTACGCACGTCTAGCTTGCGCGGCCTTCTCTTGCAGCACGTTTTGTTTCTCGTGCTCAATCACTTTGTGGAGGCCGTATCCTAGTATAATGGGGAGTGTGCAGTACCAGGTATAATCGAGAGTACGCTTGACGCCGTATTTGAAGACAAAGAAGAGGCAGAGTTCGATCAGAGTGTAGCCGAAGATTTCGAGCCACATGACTTCTTGGCTACGAGTTGGCCCTCGTTTAATTGAGCGTTACCGCGGAGGTGGAGTTGGAGGTGTGGAGTGGAGATGAGATGACGGCCGTTGCATGAGCAGCTGTGTGGCGCAGCAGCTGTCTACAGGCATCGAGTGGATTCGCTTGGGAGGCATCGACATGGGGGTTCCCCAGTCAACGTGGAAATCTTCTGCGACGCAAAAATTACGCCCACCCTTTTGTCGCGATAAAACCGCTGGTCTCTTAATCTATGCTCCCGAAGAGCCCATTATCGTATACAATCGACAGCTACGCTAAAGGCGTGATTGTTCGGAGTACCATGGATAGGCAGCCTCGGTACGTAGGAAACGAGTCTAACTGTCGATAAATTCGAAGAGGCCTATTGGTAGGACAAAGACTCAGGGGGTGCGAATGGGCGATGTGGTTGGCTACATTCCCGAGATTTTCAGAATTAGTCAACGCTGATTGGCTGGTGCCAAACAAATACGAAGAAATTCGGCGTCGCAGATAATTACCAATGGAGTAGTGCTGAACCTGCTCTGAACAATTTTCAGAACTAACAGTGCCGGTTAGCACATATAAGTAATATATGTCTTCCCGTTTTGTGCCTGCTGGTCTGAAGATAGGACTATCGGCAACCCTTCTAGTGGAGTCGGTCGTGGATCCGCCTTGCTCTTATTGGGAATGGGAACTTAGTGTCGGACCATTTCGAGCCCCATGTACATTAAAGTAGTTTAGATGGCTCTAAATTCGGTCAGTCATCGGCAATGTGGTGATGATCTACCTTCGGGGACTCATGGTTAAGTCTTACCGTTCCCGCGGGTTAGGCTTGATTGCGCCCCAACCTTCGAAGCCCGTGCCAAGCTTCCTACACAACTGCTAGCCTTGCACAATGGCGCTTATCCGATGGGACAGCGAGCGAAATGTGTCGCACAGTGGGTAGAGGCCCGTGGGGCCAGCCTCGTGGCTGCACAGCCTTGAAAGGACACGATCGTCGCGTTAATCCCCATTCGGTAATGCCGCATCGCAACGCCGACCATGAAATACCGTACAATACCACAGCCGCCAGTCTCGCGTTCTGTTTCTGCTTCCGCGGAATAAGAAAAAATGCGATGGAGCGCATCCTCGAGCTCGTCGAAGGCGTTCCGGAACTGCCTAGCGAGCAGATATACTGGCTTATCGACCATTCGTCTCGGGTGGATAAGACAAGCTTCAAGGTACGAGCCATGCCGCTGGCGGCTGCATGAGAATGGATGGAAGCGTTGACGATGTCGCAGGTTCTCACGATACTCCTCACAGTCTTCGCCGTTTTGGCTTCAACAGCACGCCTCCTCTTCCGCTACCGCAGCGAGCATCACCTAGCCCTCGAAGACTGGCTCGTCCTCTTCGCAACAATATGCCTCGTCGCAGAAACAGGCTTGGTCTACGCTTTCAGCCGCATGGTGTACTTTATTGACGGTGCAACACTGAATCTCCCCGTCCTGGCCTTCATCGGCAAAGATGCAGCGCTCACGAAAGAGCTGCTGACTGCGGGGCCATCGACGCTGGTTGCGTATTTTACGCTGGGATGGATCACGATTTTCTCGATCAAGTACAGCTTTTTGGCGCTGTTTTACAAGATGCTGAGGAATGTGAGTCGGAATTTGCTGGCGTATTTTTGGTGCACGGTTGCCGCGACAGGGATGGCATGCGTGGTAGTGATTCTAGAGAGCTTCATTCTTTGCCCGCATTTTGGGGCTGATGCCGGTGAGTGTGACAGACGCGGTGAGCGATCGGAAGCTAATGGCGGTGCAGCGCAATGTTTTCTGAAGAACAACTACACATTTAGCATCAGTACCGGAGTCGTAGTGCAAGCGCTGGATATTGTGACTGACCTTATGAGTGCGTATTGTGGAATAGACTATCCCGCTTCTGCCTCATTACTGACGTTTGCAGTTATTAGCATTCCGATCATCCTTCTCAAGATGTCGCACTTGCGTCTTCAGCACAAGGTACGCATCGCCGTCGTGCTCTGCCTCTCCAGTATATGTATCATCCTCAGCATTGTCCGGCTCGCCGGAGGCATCCACCGCAACGTCTTCGGGAATCTCCAATTCAGCACTGCGTGGATATCGTTCGTGCTTCACTGCGAAGCCGCCGTCGCCGTACTGGCAGGTTCCGCGCCGGCTCTCCGCGCGATATACACATCACATCAGAATCGCCGGACGATGACCATGACCGACGATGAGAAACCGAAGTCACTAATGTCGAGAGCGATGACCGTTCTCGGTTCGGTAAGACGCACTAAGCCTACATTGCCGACCCAAGAAAGGCCTCGGGCTTCGATAGCCCGCTGGAGGGAATCCATCATCGCCATCATGCCGCGGCGGACTCGGAGTCGAAGCAACCGCCCACTCGCCAATAATCCGGAAGGCCGAAATGGCTCAGAGGACAGCGGGATCATCCACCCGGGAATAGCATACCACGATTTCCAGAAGCAGGAGAAGAACCGGATCAGGGTGACGTATGAATGCAAGGTGCTCAGTGAGTCGGCGTCTTCATACGCGCACAAGTCGCTGGATCTGAGCGAGGTATATAACAGCTTTTGTGCTACGAGACGTGTGCTGACAGTGACAGGCGACGTCGCATACTGGAACGATATTATCGGCCCCTAGTTCCCCTGTGCCTGAGATATCTAGCCAGATGGTGGATCTAATGATTGACGAGCAATTTGGGAAGGTCCGATCTGGTATGCATGTTTAGCAATCAGACATAATGCAGAATGTGAGGTGCAGTCCTCGTATGTACAACTTTGTTTTTCAGTCGTGACTGTCCGAGTCCCGTTCAAAGTTGCTATTCGCATCAATTGAACCCGCAGGACCAGTACTGGTGATCCGGCAGCGACTATGGTTCGTCCGATTTGATGGATAGGAGATTGAGGGGCCTGCGGGAAGCGAGAGGTTTCGGGCCCAAAATGCCGGAGAACGAGTTACTAGGCTTTCCCTGCCTCGACTACAAAGGTGTGCGAGGGGCGACGCTAATCTTGGCATGAGCTGTTTTGGGGGGCAGGAAGGGCGATGTAGGAGGTGGATGTGACACGGTTCGCTTATGTCATCGATAAATTACGTCATCTGACCCTTCCACATGCCTGTTGAGACAGCGATGCAGTACCTGGACCAGCCAGCACCACACAACACCCTCATTCTCATACGCTTCATCAGCGGCGCTACGGAAGCTGCGTGTTCACCTTCTCAATAATTGACCACCTTGCCACTGATACGTGGCGTGCCTGGAACCGAAATCTTCATTCAACGCTAATCGAAACACCGCATCTGCAGCAAGGGCCCAATATTAGGGCCCCGGGATCGATAATTCCAAGGATGGGCCTCCCTGAATCGAACTCCGATACCATGGAACAAGGCCGTCATGCCATAAATATGTACAATCCAACAAAGAGAACTCCGAACCCCACGCTATGAATGCGCGACCAAACCAGGGCTCCCATGCTATTTTATGCCACGCTCAGTTTTCGTCATCAGAAAATCACACGGCTTCCCAATTATCCTTTCGATTGCCCTGTTGAAGGGAATTCGAATTCGCGCTTCCCGGTTTGAAGGCAACGGAGTCAACCCGAACGGCATCCTTTCCGCTGGGAAGAGAGCCATCGCTGCTACTCCTCTGGTCTGCATCCTCCTGCATATCCGGAAGGGAGATGACGAAGCTGGGCTTTGTCAATTGATGCTCTTTCAAGATGCCGAACTTCTTCAGCAACTGCTCGGCGGGCGACTTGAGGCACGGCAGCGAGCACGCGATGATACCGACGACTTCCTCGAGCTTGGCGAACACGGACGGCTTCATGGTGTCTTGCATAGGGTCGCCTTTTCCAAAGTCGTTGAACGTCGTCATCTTAGCGCAGGTGATGGCGGTTGCGAGCAGACCGAGCGACATGAGGACGCCGATGAGTATCTTCTCGCCTGTGGATCGGGACAGGCTCCGGACGAGCTTGATGGGCATGAGGGAAAGAATGAGGTCCATTGCGACATATATGGCTACATGGGATTAGCAACAGAGACTTGCAATCAGAGCAAGGAATCATACACGCAATGGCCCAGCCGTAGTCGACGATCGCATTGATGTCCCAGCACTCCACGTCACCGACTTGTTCCCAGGCATACGAGATCGGCCTGCACTGGCCGAACTGGATAACGACGTAGCTCGAGGAGATCAGTGACTGCAGTCCCATGATGCTCCACAGCGTCCACTTCCACCATCGCTCCTGGCCGAAACGGAGTAGCGAAGCCGCAATGGAGAGCCGGACGAAACATAGGGTGAATATCCACACTGTTTGGAGCGCAAACTGCAACTTCAAGCTGGCTACTACTTCTGCTGGGGTGAGATATGCGATGGGTTTGCCCCATCCATAGGCGATCGCTGCCGCTGCGATGCATATGTTGGTGAGCGAAAGGGGCTGTATGATGGTCAGCGTTGCGCTCTCTTTTGACGCCCGGAGAACAGACCTCTGCGACGACGATGAGCCAGTCGTCAACATACAACCTCCCCGTCCTCCTCAGTCGTGTGTATATGCGCATGACGACTAGACACAGCGCGACGGCACCCAGTATTGACACCGGGATCAACCACATGGTCGAATTATTCGAATAGGGCGGCATCTCGGTAGCCGACGTCATGGTGTTCTCGTCGGATACGACAAGGTCTCCCTGCGCTTTAACAAGTCTGACAGCGCGTGTCGGGAGCGGACAAGAATATTTCGAAGCGTAGTGCGACGTTCAGTTCAACCGGACCGTCCGCAAGGTTATAAGGCCGGCGGCGGCTCGTTCGACGGCGCGCAATACATGCTGCGGGCGGAACGGGAGGAACCCAGTTTAACTTTGGAGGCTTCGGGGAGCAGCGCTCGAAGCATTCATAAAGTTTGCCAGCTCGATGCTGCTGCTGCAGAGGCGAGGCCTTGCGCAATTCGACCATCGGCGCGATTGAGCCGTTGGGCGGCCTGGCACCTGAAAATAAGATTTGCGAGCCCTGGAGCGCACCATGGATGGTGGCGTGCCGCTACAGGCTTCACGCGGGCGCGGACGCGCGCATTCCGGGTCTTCCCCGCGCGTAGTTCGCGGGGTTAAATGCGGTTTCGGAGTGGCTGGCACGACTCCGGCTTGGTGGATGCTGCTCTTGGCTTAGCGAACGTCCGCCTGGAACAGCCTTCGAGACGATCCTCGGCACGTCTTGACGCGGTGGTACGATGGCGATCCCCCTGAGTCGTGGTCAAGCGTTTGAGGGGTTTTCACCGCATTTTCCTCAGGTGTGGGCACCCTCCAAACAGCTCAACCTCCTCTACACTTACGTTTACAGTAACTCGAGCGATAGCGGACGGCGAAGGAGGGAATCCCTCAAGTTTGGGTGCACGATGAGACACGTCTCGCGTGGTCTCGGCTGGCGCCTGGGAAGGGTTTACCCGCTGGCACTCGCGTTCGAGGCACCTCGGGTGCGGGCTTTCTGGCGGCCAAACTTTACCCGCATCCCCGGTCCCTGGAGCTGAAGACATCTCGCACGATCCTTCGTCCATCCTCATCACGATGTGATTCGGAAGCTTGAGCGGCGGCATGCGATTGGTGGTCTCTCACGGATCCGAAATCTTATCGAGATCGGCTGGATGCAAGAGACGAGTCAACAAAGGCTTCAACACGAGAGAATAACATGCAAAATCCCTTGGAAATTCAACTCTACGAGCCTTTTGCCTTTTCTGCCTCTTGCTCGTCGCTTGGAGAACGGGAGGAGCGAAGGAGGAGCAATGCGATGTTGCTTAAAAAAGGCGCAGATTGATCTATCATTGGAAATGACACCGGCAGTCATTCAGTGTGCTATCGCAGTCCTGAACAATGAGGCATTACAACCCTCATTCATACGGGCCGACTGCGGAACTTGCCGAATACCTCCTACGCGTCGCTATTATTGATGGCAACAGATTCAGCCATCGCTCCTCCTGGCCACCAATATCGCCATTACCGTCATCATTCCGCTTTCCAATCCCCTAGGAGAACGCCTCGATTTCCGGAAGCTATTGATACATTTGCTTCTTCGGCGGAGAAGTCGTCGTGCCAGGCGTTCCGGCTAAGGTCCTCGTCAAGCATCCGCTACACGCTTAACACCAATCTCAGTAGTAATGGGATGCAAGAACCTCAGGGGCATCCAAATTTCCACAACCACCTTGTCAATTATAGATCACTAAGTGTATGCGTAGGATTTCGAACCCAGGGTCAAAAGCCACCAGCCCCTGACCGCAAACTGCCACGCGTTCGTCTGCTTTCTGAGCCGAATTAGCAACTTCGTCATCACGGCCCTCTACTCACAAGCGCAAGAATTTCTACGGTCAGACCATCCGATAAGTCTCCCGACTCCACTGTGGCGTTCCGATCTTTGCGGTTCTCCTTGCGCAGTTGATGGGCCTCAGCATTGGCCTAGCGAGAACGATCTACGAACTAAGCTTCAGCTTTACTGAAGCGGAGAGCACGTACTTCATGTATCGTTCGGCGGAAAGAACATGGGGGTGGATGCGAGGGGAGGTCGAGATTTGAAAACCTGCGCTTGGTGTTGGACATCGCCAGGCATGAGCAGATCCATAAGAGCGATATCCCCATCGCTCTACGGACATTAATCGTCCGTCTCAATAGCCAGGAATTCTCTCATCATCCGAACCGGGCTTGCTTCGCCGAATGCGATGCGGTGCGGTTGACGTGCTGAGCCTCCAGCTCCTAGTCGGCGCCCGACAACGGCTTTGCTGTAGTGACTTCTGTGGCGCAGTCTCTTCCAGATTTTCGGCGCTCAGTTGACGGGCCATGCTGGCGGAAGGAAAATGATCTGGTGAGCTCATACTCCCTTGGCCGTCGCGTGATCTTTCAGAGCACTGCCACCTTGTAGGCGAACACCATTTAAGCGGACACAATTGCGCTCACACTTTCCCACATGGCTCCATGCATATTTGCGGCTGCCTGTCTACTTTTGTTCGCAGCAGTGCTTTTGTCAGCGGCATTGCTAATTATCCACATCTGTTTCTCGCGTTGCTCTTTATAGGCCAACCATATTCGAGACCGCAGGGCTCTTCTATCGACCCCGTCCAGCCGAGTCAACGGTCCCAAAGACGCGGATGGACTACAATACCACTTCAACTGAGGACTGTCCACCGGACCTATACGGCATGGTCGTAGCCCGACGTTGGTTGAAAACATGCCAGACAAAGCATCCGATATGTAGCACCGCATTCATCCTTACAGACGGTGGCTGCGAAGAATCGGACGTATCTTCCAACCCAGCTTTACTACTACCTAGACGACTGCTAGATGTAGGCCCTCATGGCTCGGAAGACGTGAAGCTGATCAACACGGACACGGGCGCTGATAAGGAATACCGGTATCTGGCACTCAGCCACTGCTGGGGCGACGCATCAAAGGTTAGAAAGACAACTCTCTCGAATCTTCTGCAGCATTGCGAAGGAATCCAATGCTCAACGCTCTCGAAGACATTCCAGGACGCAATCCTCGTCACTCAGCTTCTAGGATTTCGCTTCCTTTGGATTGACAGTCTTTGTATCATTCAAGATTCCCGTGAGGATTTCGAGCTTGAGTGTGCGCGTATGCATACCATCTACCTAAACTGCGATTGTATGCTTTCCGCATCCGATGCCAGAAGCGGTGACGAAGGTTTTCTCACTTACTGGGAGAGGGGCAATACCGGACAAGCTGAAGGAACAACAGCGCCCCCAAAGCCGAGACCCGCTCTTGATCCCGAATCAGCTTGTACCGTTCGAATCCGCCAAGGAATCAGCTGGCGTCAATGGTCAACGCTTCTGGCTGGGCCCTTGAGCACGCGTGGCTGGACTTTCCAGGAACGTCAGTTGGCCCCGCGCATCTTGCACTATACAAGACATGGAATGATGTGGGAGTGCCGCTCCTGCATAGGCGCTGGCGACTCCACGGTCTTGCAGTACCGAAGGACTTCTCACAAGCTAGACGACTACCGAACGATTTCTCACAAGCTGGACGACTACCGAAAGACTTCTCACAAGCTGGACGAACAGCCAAACCCAAGCACGCCTAGGATGCACTACGTCCCGTACGCTAAGCTACCGGACTTATTCCGCATCCTTGACGGATCGCCGGCCCAGGTTGGAGAGGATATTATGGCGCAATGGCTCAGCTTGGTCGACGATTATTCCAGAAGGAATCTGACATTTATTAAGGATAAACTACCAGCTATTTCTACCCTCGCAGCAATCGTCTCTTACATTTCTCCGGAACCAAGTGCATACCTCGCGGGCGTTTGGGCTTCCGATTTGGCTCGTCAGCTATATTGGCAACCAAAACCACGAAGCTCCCAAGGACGTACAGCGCACGCGGCGAAGGTCTTCGACCGTTTCCCGTCGTGGTCTTGGACGTCCTACAATGGGCCGATCACGTATGCCGTAGCGGAGTTCTTCTTCACGGACTACATGTACCACCGTACAGAGAAATACGAACCACATGCGGTCTTCAGATTCCTCTCGAGCGACGTCCGACCCCAAGGTCATGATCACTTTGGAGACATTGAAGGAAGGCAACTAGACGTGTATGGGGAGTTCGTGGATGACGCGAATCCAACATTCAAGACATCGAACTACTCGAAACATCCAGTCCGGTCGGATCTGAGGGTGAACTTTGATGACGGAGAGACGCATTAGCAGTTCCGGGGGGGTTGCACTATCTGCACTTGATGCAAGGCACGTCAAATGAAGGGCATTGTGCGCTTGGTCCGATCCTTCACCCAGCTGCAGGGGGCAAGTTCAAAAGGGTGGGGACATTTCTTGAGGTTTGGGAAGAACCCGTAGTGAAGCCTAAACCGATTCAAGGGGGCCGTATCAGCCTCATCTAAGGTACCCAAGAAGTCAGTCTACGCCAAGTTACTCCCCCTCGACTCGAGTCGCAAAAGGGACAACAACGTTGTTATTAGCCACGATCATCAATGATATATGATAAGAAGCCCTTACACACGGACAACGGGTTGGGAGATGGGAAAATCCGGCTGTGGGCTCACCGTCCCCGTTCAACTTCTATCGTCGCGGAGAGTCGCTGTGAGAATAGGTGTCGCGACTTCGAGAATCAATCATACCATCAGCGCGAGACTACGAGAAAGAGATAGACGAGATGCCGCGCCTTGTCTACACCCATTGCGCGAGGGTTCGCGGGCGTGGCCTGATACATTCGCTGATGTCTGGCGCATGGCGAGCATTTGGTCAACCTCAGGTCTCGGTATGCGAAGGTTTGCTTGCTTGAGGACTCGCCAATCTTGCGAGGAAATGGTGTCAATGGCGCTCTCATCCGCGATGGCAGGCACGGACTAGGAGCCGACCCTTCAACAGCTCGCCCTCAAGATCCGCTCCGTTTGGAAAAGTGCCGGGTCAAAAGCCAACGTTCCCACGATTGCGTTGTCTCGATGTCCTCCGTATCTCCTCTACAAGCATCGCACGCTCACAGAACCGTGCTGTTTCTTACCTCGGTTCACCGCGACTCGCATCGTCATCCCGCTATGCACTAGTCTAGCGTCTCGATAGTTCCCTTCCGCCTGTTCCTCGGCTCGGCCCCTGTGTAGCCACATCCGGCATAGATCGTCGCAGACTTCCTATTTCAAATGGCGATGTTCGCTTGGTTCGGAGGATCTGGCAAGCGGGTGCCGATCGCAGAACGCTCCCTCATTTCCCCCGCATTCTGATTGGCGGTGATATTCGATCCTATATAAATCCGATGGTTCATCATGCTTAGGCCTCGTGGCCAGGTCTGTGCCTGGGGGATTAGTATCGCCTTGTTTCTTAGATCTTACAAAGAACAGGGAGGGAACAGGGAGCGGGCAGAGATCTGCTGAATACTTAAGGTCGGCCCACCGATCGGGTAGCAAGACGAGAGACAGGACGGCTGCGCGTCGGTCCTCTTCCTCCCAAGATGCCTTCTCTCGTCCCATTTGGCCTGTTCGTTTCATTCTATCTCTACTTCTCCGCAAATGCAGCTCCGGCACCTGCTCCAATCCCCGCTCCGCGCCCCATAACAGCACCCGATCCGGACCCTCAACTGCTCTCCGGCGTCGTCGCCCCGCTCGGAGACGCAGTTGGAGCGCTTTCCAGCGATCTCATCGACGTCCTGAACAACACGTTAGACAGACTCCTGGATCCCCATCCCACAAGCACGCCAGGAAGTATCGACGATGTCCTCGTCTATCTACAAAACCGGTACGATGGTAGGCCAACGGGATACATAGGGAACGGTCTGGACTATGTCGCCAACGGTATCTTCGAGACCACTCTAGACGTCCAGGGACTCCAAGGCGGTACGATTGATGATAGTCCGGCGGGAATTAACTCCTTCGCGAATAGTAACCCGGCTCCGCCGACGGAGATATATCCAAAGGCTAGCCCGAGCGATGCGCCATATTCACTTAGCGAGTCACAACTGCGGTCTGCGATTTACATCCCATCGACCTTCAACGCCCAAGATGCCCCAACCCCCGTCCTTCTCGTCCCGGGCACGGGCGCATTCGGCGGAGTGAACTTCGAAGGCAATTTCGCCAAGGTCCTTGCACAGGATCCCAGCATCGGCCAAGCTGTCTGGCTCAACGTCCCAGGCGCCATGCTCATGGACGCCCAGATCAACGCCGAATACATCGTCTACGCCATGAACTACATGCATTCGCTGACGGGTAACACCGTCTCAGTGATCGGCTGGTCGCAAGGCAACCTCGACGCCCAATGGGCACTCAAGTACTGGCTGTCGACGCGCACGTCCGTCCGCCAGCTTATTTCCGTGTCTCCAGACTTCCACGGGACCGTCCTCGCGAACCTAGTGGATCTAGGCACAGACCTCGGCGTCGTCCCGATGTCGCAGGCGGTCCTCCAGCAAGAGTATGATAGCAACTACGTCACGCGCCTCCGCGAGAACGGCGGCGATTCCGCCTACGTCCCAACGACCACCTTCTACTCCGCGCTCTTCGACGAGATCGTCGAGCCGCAGCAAGGCATCGGCGCATCTGGCTTTCTCAACGACGCGCGCAGCGTCGGCGTCTCGAACAACGAAATCCAGTCCGTCTGCGGTGCCACGCCCGCCGGCGCCTTCGGCACTCACGAGTCCCTTCTATTCAATGGCCTCGTGGTCAGTCTTGCGATCGACGCGCTCAGGAACGGCGGGCCGGCGGATGCGAGCAGGATCGATTTGACGGCCGTGTGCCAGCAGGCTGTGTATCCGACGCTGGATCTTGTCGATGTGCTGGAGACGGAGGCGCTTATTCCGCTCGCTGGGGCGAATATTCTGGAGTATATTGTGGGTTTGATGGGGACGACGACGGAGCCGGTGTTGATGGGTTATGCGGCGAGCTAATATGGGACGTGTACGTATGCAATGAGTAATGTTTTTCAATTTGAGCACTGGTTCGTGGATAAGAGGAGGCCCTAAAGTGAGGATGCTTCTCATGGGAGGGTAGAAGTTTGACCATGGACTGAGGGAAGCGTCCCAAGCGGGACGAAAACTGCGCACTTAGTGACGATATGTGCGCGATCCTACATCCGGCTGGCTCGCCTCACCACACTACACCACAGACTGAAGGAGTTGAAATGCGGAGGATTTGGAAAAGGATTTCTCCCGGCTTGTCTCCTTCCCGGAATTATGCAGACGCGAGCACCCAATGATCTCTTTTTTTGCGGTGTCATGTAGTTCCGTTTCCTATCCCCGCCCTCGACGATTGGTCAATTTCTTGCAGGCATGCGGTACGCCTATTCTACAATTTCTTTAACGTTCCCGGAAATAGGCGACGAAAGATACTTATTCCCACGCTTAAGAGATTGGGGGGCATGCACGACTCACGTCCTTTCGTCCTCCCAACTCGACATCACGAGTACCACCAGTTAGGCGAAAGTTCCTCAAAGAGGGCGAATGAAGCTCAGAGTTTGACGGACATGTTGCGGATATAATGATGTTCGCGGGATTTTGACACGGATTGTCTACTTTTTCCATTTTCACTTCAGCACGCTCCGTGCATTCTGCTTGTTTGCGCTCCTAGGAAGGTTTAGTGGTAGGTGCCTTCTGTACCAGTGATGCAAATAATAAGATGAAGGAGAATAACATTAAGCCATGCCATTGGGGGAAGCGATGAGTGCGGCCCAGCTATGTCAGTGTGCTTTTCTCCATTCTTTGTACTACTGGCCCTCGAAGTAGTTCTACCCTATTATTTGATACATGGTGACAAATATGCAGGTTTCAAGCTCTTTTACTCTCGGCAGTTACATTTTCAGCTGTAGCTAGTGTATCTTTTTTTCACCAGAGCTCTCGCGCCCGTCTAGGTCAACTCGGCGTATCGTTTCAATCGGTCATCGCATTCCGAGCACGGTTGACCTACCAGCGATTTGAACAAAAGTGGGACGTCGTAGTATTTCGGTATTGGACAGGCAATCGCACTCCTATTGGAACAGGCCTGAAAGTGGTCGATAGCCACTTGAAGAAACTCAGACACCTTATCACCGCCGACTACTTTGTGACGATAAGTGGTTTCCCAACCTATGGGGACGGGCAGAGCCTGCCGGACCCCGTGTTTCTGGCAGATATGGAACAGGTCGAGCGAAGTCAAGCCGCCGACCTTTTTCAGTCCTGCGAAGATTGACTTCCAGGTCCCGTCTGTTAGGTGGACGAACTTGACGCCGAAGGTAGTGAGCGTCCGCGCGTTGTCATTGACAAAGCGCCGTAAGCGCCCGCCGCTAACGTATACGCCGTTTAGGTTAACAGCCGTGAGCTGCTGATATGGAGTCGTTGAGATCATGTAGAACTCGGCACTGCATGCATTGCACACGCGCAATCGAGGGCTTAATGCACATCCGAAGAGACGGACGCTTTCAACGTCGGTCAGAATCCGAAGGAGGCGAGCGACGCGGTATTGCGGAGAGTAGCTCCGGTTATGGGGTCGACTACCCGGTTCGCCTACGTTAATTGCCCGGACGCAAGGCGCGCATGAAGCGAGCCCTTGCATGTACTCGAGCGAAGTAGCCTCTAGGGATTTCGGATCGATGTGGAGGTGGGCGATTCTGCGCGGAAAGCCGGACATGGCGAGAGCATGCAGGACGGTTGGGTCTCCGAAGTGGATATCAACGTGTTCCAGTTGCGCCGCATCTGCTAGATTACTGAAGATATGCGCGAGCAGATAAACAGCCTCGGCAGATTCAGCGAAGCGCGCATCTTCTTCCCACTGTAAATAGGCCTGGGCTTGCTCGTTTACGGTCTTATGCTCGTTTCGCAACTCGGGAGGGAGCAGCCAGATGCGTCGGAGAGCGTCTCTCATCCCTGGGATGTTCGAGAGGTGCAGGAGCACATTTAGGTCTTTCCATGTAAGTCGGACTTCCGCGTCCTCGAATAAGACCCTGTGCCGAACCAACGTGTCGTAGACTGTCTTCCAATAGAGCTCTCGGCAAGTCAGACGTAGCGCGTGAAAGTCGGCATGTTCGTAGCAGATGGAACCGCTGTGCCTGTATTGGCCCAGGAGACGACAAATGCGACTGATAATCTCAGTTGGCAATGAAGGAAGCGTAGGTTTTGAACCGACCTTAGCCATGGTAACATTGAGAGCGTGCTGTGAAGGGGAAGCGGTCGAGTCCATTGTAGCCGAGGACGGTTGCGTGCTCCGAGGTTGGGTGGCCGTGGTCAGCGAGCTTGCAGATGGAGCAGCTTAAGTACCCCGAAGAGACCGTACGAGCGAAAGAGGCTAGCGTGCCTTCATCTACAACGCAGATATGTGACGGTGAAAAGAAGAACACTGGAGCGGTTGAAGAACACTGGAGCAGTTAAAGGATACTAGAGCAGTTAAAGAACACTAGAGCGGTCAAAGAACACCAGAGCGGTTAAAGAACACCAGAGCGGTTAAAGAACACTAGAGCGGTTAACTATTAGCTCCGAGTTTCGAGTCTGCGGTATCCCAGCTGGAAGGGAACCGGCACTCTGCTTACGATGGATACATGGGTTGGTGGCGGTAACGTACCGACGCACCACGCAGTTAAAAGTCTTCTTAAACCCTGAGCCCACCTACGTCGAGCCCTTAGAGCTACCTCCTCCTCCGGCCCTAAAGCCGAGCATAATACACGGCAGCGCCACCTAGTAGCACTGTCGGAATACCGATGCCTATCCCAACGCCCAGGGCGATGTCGTCAGACTTCTTCGACTCGGTGTCGGTGTCACGTCCGCTGCTACTGTTTGGGGTTGGCTGCGTGACGTCGTCGTCGATGGAAGTGGAACTGCGGCTGCGGAAGTCAGAGTCCGAGAGCGAGGATCCGTAATAGCCGGTGACGAACGTAAATGCAGACTGCGTGGAATCCAGAAGCGATGCTCCCACTGACGTTCCCGACGAACTTTGCAAATTCGAAGACTCAAAGGCCGGTAAGCCAGTCGCCCTCAAGGCAAAGCAGAACAGGGAGTTTTACCTCCGCGCCATCCGTAGACACAACATCTGACCCTCCTCCCGACGAAAGCCCCCAAGTCAACTCCGCACCGACACTAGTTTTCGCAGCGCTGCTGCCCTCAGACGTGCTTATCAGCACCGCACTAGTTATTGCAGCCGCAGTGGGTCCTTGCGATGTCTCTGCGGCCCCCGCATTTGCGGAACACGCCGCGAAGTATGCTGTCTTAGCGGCGCTTTGCTCGACGAAGACGAAGCCGAGAGAGCTGCACGCTGAGCGTACGCAGGTTGTCATGTAGTCGAGCGCGGTGGCGGAGTCGCTGCAGTACGAGGATGTGGCGTCGGCTGCGCAGGGAGAGAAGCATGGGTTTGCGGTCTGGCTGTTTGTTCGACTGCAGAGGGTGAGGACAGCGGCTAGAAGGCTCGCGAGGAACATTGCCTGTGGGTGGGAACGGTGGTGGTCATGGATGACGTAGTAAGGATGAGTAGGGAATTAGGGACCGGGGATGTGGATTGGGTGATAAGGCTGGTGCCTGGGTAAATATTTGGGTTAGATGTGTGAGCCTCATTGCGTGAATCGTCGGGTGAGCGTGGACAAGGCTGGACAGGTGATGCACCATCACGCCATGACGAATAGGTATGGCTGCCGGTTGGATCCCGAAGGGGTAGTTGTGGCGTCCGAGCTGGGACGGATACGAGAAGATCAATACCATTTAAGACGCGAGTTCGTGATTGCACACTGACCGGTGAAGTGATTCGAGACGACCCTAACAAACCCTCCCTAAAAAAAATATTTTGAGAGTCGAACACAGACGGTATACCCAACAGTACGCAATATCCAGATCACCGTGTTCATCTCACAGCTTCTCCCCCAGCACACCCTTCATATCCCGCTCAACGTCGTTCAAATACAGCCATGCCAACGGATCACCCTCCTCTTCATGCCAGACCTGCTCTTCCGGCAACTTCCTCTTCTCCTCTTCCGAAAGCCGGATATTGCTCATCTGCGTGCTCAGCACCAAAACCCTATCAATCCTCTCCTGCCGATATTCCTGCCACTTGCGCAGCGCGCCGCGCAAGTTCAAGTCCACACCGTCGGACCCAAGCGAGCCCAGTAGCAGCGCAAGACTGTAGCTATCCTCGAACGCTTGATTCGCGCCCTGGCCCGCGGTCGGCGGAATCGCATGCGCGGCATCGCCCACGATGACTACGCGTCCGCCGTCCGATGACCATTTATCTAGCTTGGGCACCGTGTGGAAGGGCCAGGTGTTGATGCTGTGCACGTCCGGGGTGCTGATCTGCTCCTGTCCGGACTGCACGAGGTCGGACCACTCGTCCATGTCGCGCTGATGCATTTCAACCAGCTCAGTCTTCGACTTGAGCAGCGCGTCCCACCCCGAGCGTTCTTGCATGGGGTAAGTGAACTGGCGGCCCGCGAAGATCTCGGTGCCGTCGGCGTTCTGCGGCGCCATGACGAAGGCACCGTTCTTGCCGTGGATGGAGACGGGCATTGGGAAGGCCGGGGAGGGGAGGCGCAGCTTGGAGGCTGGGAAGGCGAAGGTGACGCCGAGGAAGCCGGAGTAGGCGGGCACGATGTCGGGTAGGATTTGCGCGCGCACTTTGGAGTGGATGCCGTCGGCGCCGATGAGGATTTCGGCGCGTTCTTCGGTGCCGTCGGCCAAGGCGAAGGTCACGCCCTGGTCGTCCTCGGCGACGATGTGAGAGAACTTCCGGCCATACTGGATGGGAATGCCTTGCTCCTGGACCATCGCACGTAGCTCGGCGATGAGCACGTTGCGATAGATGCGTAGTGCTTGGTACCCGTAGCGCTCCTTGTTGCCGAAGTAGTACTTCCCAATCTCTTTGTGGTCCGAGTCGTTCATGAACGTCAGAGTGTCGAAGTTGTAGCCCTTGGTGCGGATGCGCTCATAGGCTCCCAGATGGTCTTGCATGCGGAGCGCGTTTGGCGAGAGCATGAGAGCACCGCCGAAGTCGTAGGATGGGTCGCGCAGCTCGTAGAGCTTGGATTCGATGCCATTTTTCTTGAGGGCTAGGGCGAGCGTCAGACCTCCTAGGCCGGCGCCGATGATGGTGACGGACTTTGGCGGGATGGAGGTGGTTGTGGAAGACATTGTTGAATAAGTGGGTTCGTAGGTGATTCAAATGAAACAGAGATTGGTGAACTGGTAGGATAGAGACGATGCTGGATTTTTAAGATGCCGTGATGATGAGGCGGAAACTGGAAGGCTCCATCGCGCTCTTATACGAAGCTGAGGGCTGTGAGCCTTTGAGGAGCAGGCCCCAAGCCGCGCCATCTCGACCGTTCTCCTCCCGACAGCCGACCGATTCGAAGCTTAGAACGAAGCAATTTCATCTGGAGCCGAGAACATGCGATGGAAAAGCGAGCGGAGATGGGATGGGTTTGGATGGCAGCCGTTGAAGTAGCGCACGGCGACCGACGGCGCTAGTGGAGAAGATATCGGATCCGGGATCGGCTCCGCCACACGTCCGAAGCGAATGTCCACAGGTATGCGGTGCCAACCTCAGCGTTGGGTGGCCGGTTGTTGGAAGCTCTGTACGACTTAACACTGATCCAGCTGTCTCGCGGTGATGCGGGTACGTATAATACCAGTCCTCCCGGTGAGCACCCACAGCCCAGTCCACTCGATGAAGCACATAACATCATATCATCCGGATCTAAGTCTAAGGTATCACATAGCTAGCATGTCACAGCAACTTGGCGACAACTCTACTCCCACATAATCTTGAACAACATATACCCACTCTCGTCGCCCCTTCCAACACCCCTCCGCTTCTCCAGCATCTCCTTCTCCACAATCCTCAACACATGTCCATCCCCCCGCTTCGGACACTTCCCATCCGCGAATGCTGCTTCCGCGGTGCCGGGGATGCCTTCAAACTTCCCGTCCTTGCGCACCGTCACTACGAGCCAGAATACTCCATCGGGAGCGAGCAGATCAGCGGCGCAATCGCGTAGCCACGCCGCGTGCTCGGGCGCGTAGACAACGTCGGCTGCGACAAGCATGCTTGCGGTGGAGTGTAAGGAGGCAGGCGGGGCGGACCAGTCGAGTAGCATCGTCTTCACGGGCGCGGAGGAATCCGGCTGGCAGCCAAAATTAGTTGTGATGTTGGCGCGCAGGTTCTCAAGGACAGCGGGGTGATAATCCGTCGCGAGGATGGAAGGCTGCGTCAGGGACAGACGCGGCATCAACTGCCCTAACGTGAGGCTCACAAGGCCCGTCCCGGCTCCTAGCTCGATGATGCTCGCATCTTTGGGTAAGCGATGCAGGCCAAAGCGCCCCGGAGCTATGCACAAGAGGCCCGAGAGGATGATGCTGGCGCCCCAGCTCTGAAGGCCGACATCCGTATGATCCGTCCCCGAAAGCGGAGCATCGTTGAGTCGGGCTTGGATGGGTTTCTCTTCTCCAAGAGCGGCTGACACTGGGAACGAGAAATCACGTGTTAGGGCTTCATCGGCCTCGTGGTCCGCAAAGTCACTGAATGACGCAAGGATGGATGCCGCTTCATCGATAATGCGCGACTGCGAGTCCTCGGATGCAAATGGCAGTTCATCAGCGCGCGCAATCAGGGTGGTGAGCCAACCGACGGCGAGAGTGCGTTCGAATTCGTCAGCGCGGAGCGCCGCAAGCGCTTCTTCGGTGTCTGAAACACCCTCGTCGGTCACCTCTTCATCCTCGGAGACGTAACCGGAGTCGGCATGCGCGGTCGCTGGCGCGCTCTGCTTTCCTCGGGTGAGAGTGACGGGGAGCCGGAGTGGGCAGTAGAGGGCCTGCAAGTTATGCAGCGCGGACGTGATCTGGTCCTCGGTGGCAGAGCGAAGCGAGCGGACGGGAGGCAAGCTGCTCGAAGGAGGTTGGCAATGCCCGGAGATGCTCATCGGACGGCGCTGATGAGGGGAGTAGTGAACGCGCAACGCGATGAGACGTGAGTAGACAGGAGGAAGAGGAAAGAAGGACAGCCTGCGACGAAATAAAGACGAAAAGAGATGCAGAATATACGACGATAAGGAAGCGAGGTTTGTCGGTAACCTGGAAGGTTAGTCTAGGCCACGCTCGGGCTTCAGCAGTCAATTTTTCACCGCCTGTCATCTCTCGTGGTGGGCAAACGTGCGGTTTCGCGATCCATGGATGAATTCTGGACCATGGTGGTGATAGAGACCAACGCATATATACAAATCCGGCTCTAGGTATAGACGCACGGGGATGGCGAGAGCTCTCCTCATCGTCATCCTCCGCGAAGAGCTTCACGATGCTGTGCGGAAAATTTGCGATATCGCCACGTGGGCCGCTCGGTAATCTGATTTGGGAAGCGGGATCTAACCAAACTAGGTTTAGCTCAGAGTTTCGCCCCCTTTTGCGACTCGCCTACCAACGTACATACCGCTCAAGCTGCGACACGCTCGACCTTAGTTACACTGCCCTTCATCCGCTCTTCCTCTTCATCCTCATACATCTGCACATGAGACCTAGTCCTTGTCTTGCCGAACTTCTTAATCGGCACGCCCTCCAAGAACAGCTCATCAATCTCCTCCAGCGTCTTCCCACTGCACTCCGGAATGCAGAACCAAGTGAAGCAGACGGCGAAGAAGGCTGTGACTCCAAAGATGAATCCGACCTTGCTTCCCAGCCCGGCATAGTCGTCGTTGATGAGGTAGGGGATGCTGAACGAGACAGCGAACTGGAGCAGGATGTTGAAGCAGGAGCCGAGCGCGTACGTCTTGTCGCGGAGGTGCTGGGTTGGTATCTCGGCCGCCACAACGTGCGAGAGGGGTGCCCATCCGAGTTGGAAACCGAAGCCGAATATGGTCGTCATGGCTACAATGCCTTGGCGCATAGGCAATGAGGGTTTGTCAGGGGTTCCTAGACCACCCATGGTGAAGAGTGCGCCCATTTGGATGATTGCGCCGACAAACATCAGTGGTCTTGCATAAGTTAGCGCAATGCCCCAATCCGCCCGTGCACTACTCTCAAAGACTTACACCCGGCCCGTGCAATCCGTCAACAGCTGCGTTATCAGCACTGAGACAATGTTGACGCTGATGTTGATAGAAGTCATGGAGAAAGCGTCGATAACTCCAATGCTCTTAATGAAGATCGTACCGTATACGGAGATGAAGTTCTGGCCCGTGCCTTGGAGGAAGACGTTTACGCCGATGACGATAAGGGTTCGCTTGAGGTTTGCTGTGCTGCTGCGTTAGCACAACGTTCTTCTACTCGCGCATGGGCAAGGCTGATGACTTACAGCCCCGGAAGAGTTCTGTGAAACGACCGTTCTCGACCGTCTTATTCAACGTGCTCTTAAACTCGCGAAATTCCTCCTCGATCTGCTCCTCCGTGTACCTGCCCTCGCGTAGCAGCCGTAGTGATTTGATAGCCTCTTCATCTCTCCCTTTGGCGAGTAGCCAACGCGGCGACTCCGGCACGTACCAAATGCCACAAAGCAGGATGGAAGGTATGATGAAGAAAAGACCGAGCGGAATCCGCCACGAATTATCGCCTTCGACGGTACTAGTACCGCGGCAGATGACCGCACCGAGAAGCTGGCCGAACAGAAGGCTGGATTGATACGTGCCTACGACGAAGCCACGCACGGAGGGAGGTACTAGTTCCGACTGCAAGACCGGAACCAGCGCGAGCTCCATGCCGATGTAGACGTAGGCGATGATTCGACCGGCTAGCATTTGCCACCGATTGTGCGAAGTGACGAGTATGACAGCGCCGACAAGAGCCCAGCCACACATGACGAGGAAGCAGTTGCGACGACCGAGCTTTCCGCTGATGATGTTACCAGTGACCAGACCAAAAGCGAAGCCGATGTAGGTCAGGCTATTCAGGAGAGACAAATAGTACGATTGAAGCGCGTATCTGGATTGGCATTAGACATGCAATAGATTGGAAGTGCTGGACCACTCACACCTCCGTTGCCAGATTGTAGACACCGAATTTACGCGCAAAGGCGTTCATCGCCTGCGTATTGGAGAAGACGCCCTGGTCCAGGCCGAAGTTGACCTGCGACAGGGCGATGATCGAGCAACAGTAGGCCAACCGAAAGTTGAAGCATCGTACAAACTTGCTCAGGCCTGTCTTTTCGGTCGAGGATGAGGTGGGAGACATTGTGGGTAATCGCGCAAGGAGACTCCAAGGATATAAAATGATGCGCAGCGTGTCCGGCGAGCATAGCGAACTCGTGGATATCGTGCAAATTTATCAATTCCACAGGGTTGGTTCCGGAGACCCCATGGGGTGCCATGATTCAGTCGCCGAAATGAGACCAGTCCACGATGGGAGGGCAAGGCGAGGAACGGGGAAGAGTGGATGCGAGGCGGGGTAGAGGTGCGGAGATCATGATGTTGGCGACGGGGAAGAACGGAGATTAAGACACGCAGCTGCTTAGGTCGACGGGGAAGAGCGGAGAAACACGAGTCCTCCGCGATCTTTCCGAAGCGTATGCCGAATGAACCCATCCCAGCTCTCTGCAATTTGAACCTATCCTCCTTGTCTTCTCTTCATTGTGATACCACATTCTGGCGGCCCGCTGGAAGCTCTTCAAACGTCGCAAAACCGTCAAGCTTCCACAACCCCTTCGAATATCCTGACCGTCGACAATGGGTTCCATGCATAAGCAAAAACGGCCGAACTTCCTCATTATCGTGGCCGATGACCTTGGATACAGCGACGTGGGGTGCTTCGGGGGTGAAATTTCAACACCCACTCTTGACAGACTCGCCAGCACTGGCGTGCGGTTAACCAACTTCCATACCGCATCAGCATGTTCGCCGACCCGATCAATGCTGTTCTCTGGAACCGACAACCACATTGCAGGGCTGGGCCAAATGGTCGAGCACATGGCAAAGGACGTCAACTACAAAGACCATCCCGGATATGAGGGCTATCTGAACTTTCGAGTGGCCGCGATGTCCGAGATATTGCAGGACGCAGGGTATCAAACGATTATGTCTGGCAAATGGTAGGTGGCTAGGACCAAACGGAAAGGGCTCACGCTGACGGTTTGTCGTTCAAGGCACCTCGGTCTCACAAAAGACACATGCCCCCACGCGCGCGGGTTCGATGAATCGTTTGTCTTCCTCTCCGGCTGCGGCAATCACTTTAATTATGAGCCGCAGCTGGATGACCCGTCGCATGCCCTCTTCACGCCTATGAATGCAGGGAAGTTCTGGATGCGCAACTGCAAATATTTAGACAGAACAAATCCTCAACATGTTCCAGCGGACTTCTACTCGACGACATCTTTTACCGACGAGCTGATCAAGTACCTCGACGCGAGAAAAGATAGAACGCGGCCTTTCTTCGCGTATCTGCCCTTCACAGCACCTCATTGGCCTCTGCAAGCTCCACGGAAGCTGATCGAGAAGTACAAGGGCACGTATAACGATGGTCCAGAGGGTCTGCGGTCGAAGCGACTCCAGAATTTGATCGAGATGGGTATCATAAAAGCTGACGTGGAGCCTGCACCGGTTACTATGCCCCCGTCGATGGAGTTATCTCGGTGGGAAAACATGACCGAACAAGAACGCGCCGAATCAACACGTAAGATGGAGGTATTCGCTGCAATGGTAGACTCGATAGACGAGAACATTGGTCGGGTGGTGCGACATCTGGAGCAGAGTGCGGAACTGGATGATACGTTCATTTTGTTCATGTCGGATAATGGCGCCGAGGGAGCCATGCTGGAAGCGCTTCCGATGATGGGCGGACCCGGCTCGGTAAACAGGATCATCGACAAGTACTACAATAACAGCCTGGAGAACATGGGGATGGGCGACTCCTATATCTGGTACGGAGCGGAGTGGGCGTCCGCTTCGATGGCACCATCGAGGGGATTCAAGACATGGATCACTGAAGGTGGGATCCGATGTCCCTGCGTGATCCGGTATCCGCCCCTCCATGCGTCCTCAGCGAAGTTGGCTGGAGGATCGACAACCGACTCTTTCTCAACGGTGATGGATATACTCCCCACAATCCTCGACCTTGCCGGGGTAGAGCACCCAGGAAGCAACTTCAGAGGAAGAGAGGTGGTGCCAATGCGCGGAGCGAGCTGGACACCACATCTGGGCGGGCGGCAGGCAGGCTTCCACGACGAAGAGAAGGAAATAACCGGCTGGGAGCTGTTCGGTCTGCGCGCCATCCGAGAAGGACACTGGAAGGCGCTCTATATGACGGTTCCTCGTGGCAAAGATGCCTGGGAGTTATATAACCTTGCCGACGACCCTGGCGAGATGCACGATCTCGCCGAGAAGGAGCCGAAGGTGCTGGAGAGGTTGGTGAAGCACTGGGAGACGTACTACGCGGAGACAGGCATGTTTGATCCAGGCCAGGAGTTTAAGTATACCATGTACGCATAGTGGCCTTGGCAGTAGAATTACAACAATCCTTTCTACTCAAACCACAGACGCTACGCCTGAAGCAGTTGAAATGGTTCGAAAGAGTGTTTGCAAAGTGCTACGCATGAATGTGATATCTGCGGACTGACTCTCCCATTTCAGCAGCGTGGAGATAGCCGTCTCGATTGAAGAAGGCCAGTTCGGTGGGGGCAGAAGGTCCCTATCGGACTTGGCGACGACCGCGAGAATAAGGAGAGCAAACGCGAAGGTATGCCGGCACACGGACCAGGTCCCACCGTGCCGGTGGTGGCGATCGAAGTACACGATCCCGCTTGCACAGGCAAACACGCACTCCTGAGCATAGGACAGGATCCGCGGACTTAGTGCATGAGTTTCCGGACGGTGCAGGGCGTGGTACAGGAAAGGACGCTGAATGTGATGTCGCCATTCATAGAAGCGTCCCTGCAGATAAAAGGCTAATTCGTTGTCCGGTTGATCGAGCGGATCGAACCGTATGGAGTGAGGAAGATGTGAGTACCAAAGCGATATCTGTCTTTCGGTTTCTTCGTACTGCTCTTCGAGAGAGTCGATATGCGTCATCCAGTATTGCTCTCCCTTGCGGTATAGCAGCCACAAGGTGTCATTGATGGTTCGGCGGAGCGAAATCTCGGCAAGGTAGAAGAACCAGCTTCTCTCTTCTTGCCAGGAGTTCAGCTCATTCGGGGATGGCGGCTCAGTAGCTTCTCGCTCTGTTGAGATGGTCGGTGGTAACGGGAACATGGAATCCGAACGCGCCAGTTCTTCAATGCCACTGGACTTGAAAGGGAGCTCGGGTAGCAGTTCGTTTTCGGCCTTGAAAATGGACCAGAATACGCGTTGCTCGAGTTGATACTTTAGAGATTCTTCAGAATGTTGCGCTTGCAGCATGCTAACCCTGCGTTGTCGCTTCAAATGCGCCTGCAATCTCGACGACGCTTGCTGAATGTAGAACCATGCTTGCAACGGCCTGAGAGCATACTTTTCGTATATCGAGGCGAAGAACAGGCATTGGATGTCGGTGACAGAATACCCCAGCAGTCCAATGCGCTTCTTGGCGGCTAGATAGTATGCTTCTGCTGCAGCAACATCTGCGTCTTGCAGAGAATCGTGCCACTCAGATGGGCCTGCCGCATCCCGCTCCCATGGAGATGTGTAGCAAGCAAGAGCGCACGCTATGAGCTTCCATGCACGTTAGCTCGAGGCGCCCGAGGATGATAGAGGGCACATACAACGAGACAGGACGGTCCGTCCCAGTCGAGACCATTCTCGACAGCCCGTTTGGCATAACGAATCAGCTGGCCACCCTCAAGGATGGGATTCCGCGGGTGGACGTGAGCTAGGAACTTTCGGCATAGGGGCACAAAGAGGTGTTCTTCAACGCCGGGTCCTGCCATGCGCGCCCTTGGCGAAAATGGTGCATGATGAGAGGAGTAGGAGTCGAGATTCGCCTCCAGAGCGAACGACTCGATAGCGGCGACGGATGGCTCAATGACGCCGTGGAAGACGGGCCAGCGCAGGATGCTTTCACACCTAGTGGAGGCATACGGAGGCGCGCTTGGGCAGACGGACAGTAACTGGCTGGGCCGAGACGATACAGTGGCCGGGCTCGCGGGAGCGAAATCGTGCGAAGGGGAAACGTCTAGTGAGCCCTGGTCTGCGGCGAGCTGTGGGGGAGGTCGGCCGGGGCTGTGAAGCAGCGCCTTGATGTCGTCAAGGCGCTGCAGGATCTCGCGTTCAGCCGGCGTGCTCTCGCAGCCGACGGCGTTCTCGGCACCGGTGCTCCACACGCACTGGGCATCGTGGTGCTGGCAGAAGCCGCAGACGGGCTTGATGCCATCGCATCTCGTCTTGCGCAATCGGCAGAACTGGCAGGCGATGATGGTGCGCTTGCGGCGGGCGAGCTTCGCAGTGGCTGACCGTCGTCGCGACGCTGGAGCGGATGCCGACATGGGCTAGACGCAAAGCTGCAGGTGGTCGGAAGTGGGCAGGGCTGGAAAGCGTGCAGCTGCAACGGGGAAGCATGGAGATAATATCTATCAGGAACTCCAGGGTGCCAAGCCCACTAGTCCGAATTGGGTAATGACCTTCCTCTTCCCCAGACTTCCTTCCCCGCAATCCGTCTCTCCACATTCAATGCCGACTTGCAGACATCACACCTGCCCTGCTTCTGCAACGCGATGATGCATGCCCTAATGCCAGCTGTAGCCCAGACGTGCGCGCGCCGGAATCTTGCACGCGGAGAAGCAACAGCGAGCAGACAGCACGCACGGCAATCCCGCCGCGGCTGGGGACATTGCTCCGGCGCGCACGCTATATAATCACCATGGGGCCTCTACTAAAGATCAGTGCACAACTTCGCGCCTCAGCATCCTAATGAAGACGGCAGCGATCCTCTTGCTGTCTGCTCTCACGACAGCAGCCGCTCTGCGCGCCCACGGCCGCCAGAATGTCATCGAGGACGACAGTTACTTCTACGGCGAGTCAGAGCCAGTCTATCCATCCCGTACGTCTCGGCCCGACACATGGACTGCAGTTACTCACCTTTCGGTTGTAGCTGAAATGAACCCCGGTTTGGCGGACTGGGTGGCTGCCCAGGCGCAGGCGCGCGCCATTGTCTCCCAGATGACCGTCGAGGAGAAAGCCAAAATCACTGTGGGCGTCACCCCAGGAAACAGATGCAGCGGCTTGACTGGATCGGCCCCTCGACTGGGCTTCCCCGGACTATGCACTACCGGCGCCGGCAACGGCATTCGGCAGGCCGACTTCGTCAACGGCTGGCCGGCGGGCATACACATCGGCGCCAGCTTCAACCGGCACCTGACGTATCAAAGAGGCGTCTTCATGGGCAAGGAAGCTAAGAAGAAAGGCTCCAATGCGCTCGGCGGCCCCGTCATGGGTCCACTTGGGCGAATGGCGCTCCATGGACGCAACTGGGAGGGCTTCAGCAATGACCGTAAGCCCACCCGGTAGAGTGCAACCAATATCATCGCTTATTCTCTTGTAGCTTATCTCGCAGGTCAGCTCTCGGCTCTGACAGTGCAGGGCATCCAGAGCTCAGGCGTCATGTCCATTTCCAAGCACTTCGTGGGTTATGAGCAGCAGACGTATCGGCTGCCGTCTACTAACGGCACAGGTGCGAATGCGACTCTCGTCCGCGCGTCGATATCTGCCAACATAGACGACCGAACGATGCATGAGCTCTACCTTTGGCCTTTCGCCGACGCGGTGCGAGCAGGCACCGCGTGCATCATGTGTTCCTACAATCGCCTTAACAACTCCTATGGGTGCCAGAACAGCAAGACACTCAATGGGCTGCTCAAGACTGAGCTCGGTTTCCCCGGCTGGGTTGTCACGGACTGGGGTGCCCAGGATGCTGGCGTCGCAAGCGCGCTTGCCGGCCTGGACATGGCTATGCCGGACTCGGACGACTACTGGGGGCAAAACGGCACGCTGCTCACCGAAGCTGTCAAGAACGGGTCTGTCCCTGAGACGAGGCTGGACGACATGGTGATGAGAATCATTACTCCCTGGTATTTGCTCGGCCAGGACCGCGGTTATCCTTCCCCCGACGCGGGCTTGCCTTCAGACTTTACCGCGCGTCGCGCCCTAGTCGATGCAAGAGACCTGGCGAGCAAGTCGATAGTGCTGCAGAGCGCGATTGAGGGACAAGTACTGGTGAAGAACGTGAATAGTGCACTTCCTCTGAACAAACCGCGGATGCTCTCCATTTTCGGCTATGACGCGCCCGCTCCAAATGTCATGAATGTCCCGGTACCTACTTCCCCAGGTGATACCAGCCTCTTCTCGAACCCGTGGACGTCTGGATTTCTGGGTGTTGAGCTCTCCACATTCTATCCGATCATTTTCGGTGGCAGCCCCGGTTTTGAGCTCCCCAGCATCGCCAAGCTAGGCACCTTGGTTACTGGAGGTGTGTCTCTCTATTCCCGTGGTCGCCACACTATCCGACTAACTTGATACAGGTGGCAGCGGCGCCACTGCGCCGTCATACATCTCCAGCCCATTCGACGCCATCTCCCAGCAAGCTTACGAGGATAACACGGCGATCTTTTATGACTTCAATTCCACGGATCCGGCTGTCGACTCTTCGTCGGACGCTTGCCTCGTTTTTATAAACGCCTGGGCAACCGAGGGCATGGATAGGCCGGAGCTGCGCGGTATGTGTCTCCGTTCGTAGTGTGACTGTGACCATGGCTAGCTCTTGCTCATACAGCCGCAGACGACTACTCGGACAGCATAGTCAAGAACGTGGCATCCAAGTGCAACAACACCATCGTCACCATCCATAACGCAGGCATCCGGCTCGTCGACCAGTGGATCGACCACCCGAACATCACCGCCGTCATATTTGCCCATCTCCCCGGCCAAGACAGCGGCCGCGCCATTGCATCCGTCCTGTACGGCAAAGTCTCCCCGTCCGGCAGACTCCCATATACCGTGGCGAAGAACGAGTCGCATTACGGCGCCCTCTATGCCCCGTTCAACGCCACGGACGCCGCCATGTTCGCCAAGTTTCCGCAGGGAAACTTCGCCGAAGGCGTGCATGTCGACTATCGCGCCTTCGACAAACACGCCATCGAGCCGCGCTTCGCGTTCGGCTTCGGCCTGAGCTACACCACGTTCGACTACTCGGGCCTCAGCGTCGCGCTTGCGCCGGGGAACCATTCCCTGCTGCCGCCCAAGAAGCCCGTTGTGCCCGGTGGCAATCCAGCGCTGTACGACACCGTCGCGCGCGTCTCCGCAACCGTCGCGAACACGGGTGCTGTCGATGCAGCGGAGGTCGCGCAGCTGTACGTCGGGATACCGGGCGCTGATACGCCGGTGCGCCAGTTGCGCGGCTTTGAGAAGAAGACGATTGCCGCTGGGGAACGCACCAGGGTGGGATTCGAGCTGGGACGGAAGGATCTGTCCGTGTGGGACGTTGGGGCGCAGGAGTGGGTGTTGAGGAGGGGCGAATACAGGGTCTATGTGGGCCGGAACAGTAGGGACTTGCCGCTGGAGGGCACGTTGACGTTGTAGTTGGCTTTGTTGTCTGCACAGCTGGGCGGTTAGTTGATCGGAGTTCTATCCTTTGAGTGGGCTGTTTAGCGACGTTCGCGGAGCCCCATGCGCGATGCTGTCTGTCAGCTTAAGCTGCTTTCATTCGTCCGATGAATGGCTACCGATACTTGGAGGGATGCAAAGGCTGCGGCATGCCGTTGGCCTCGGGGACGTGTACTGTACAGCTAACGTGCGACAATTTCTAGACCAGGTTCTGTAGGGAACAACTGCCGCAGAGCTGGGGGACAGCTCTGAAGGGGATGAGAGGGCATGGTGCAGCGAAATTAACGTTATGCATGGCCAAAGATAACACCGTTCAAAGCTTTTCTATGTCACGGCCATCATGCGCCATATCCAACCAAATTCGCAACGACTGGAGCATGATTGCCCCCTCACAAGCGCTAACGATTGCTAGGGTACAAGTATTCGGTCTGCGGGAAGAACTCCTCCTTGATGAGTCGCGGGGTCGTGAAGCGCAACAAGGTGTTGGAGCTTCCAGCCTTGTCGTTTGTGCCGCTTGCCCGGCTTCCGCCGAAGCTCTGCTGTCCAATGAGTGCCGCTGTGGTCTTGCAGTCTAGCGTGTGTTAGCAGTGTGTTTAATTGATGCGGCGGGAAAGACTCACTGATGTAAAAGTTTCCAGCTGCGTAGCGAAGAGCGTCTTCCGCTTGGCGAATGGCGGCCCGGGATTGAGCGAAGACAGCACCGGTAAGCGCGAAGCCACCTCCAGCTTGGTCCACCTTGGTCAAGATAGAGCTCCACTCGTCATCGGGATAAACATGGACCGCAAGCACGGGGCCGAAGATCTCGTAGTTGAACAGCTTATGGTCGGGTGACTCAGAAAGGTAGACGGTGGGCCTGACATAGAAGCCTTCGGAGTCATCGTAGGTGCCGCCGGCGAGGAGTTTGAGCGAAGGGTCTTTGTTGCTCTCGTCGATGACAGCTTTGATCTTATCGAAGGAGCGGCGGTGAATGACTGGGCCCATGAAAGCGGCGAGGTCCTTATGCGGGTTGCCCTGGGTAATATCATTGACATCCTTGAGGAAAGCGGAAAGAAACTCGTCGGATCGAGACTGCGGCAGATACAAGCGGGAAGTGGCAGAGCACTTTTGGCCCTGGTATTCGAACGAGCCGCGAATGGTATGCTTGACTGCCGAAGGGATGTCGGCGGTTGGGTGAACGAGGGTGAAGTTCTTTCCGCTTGTTTCTCCGACGAGACGAGGGAATTCGCGGTAAGTGTGGTTGCCGATGCCCTGGCCAACGCGGGCTGAGAGTGAGCGGAACACGTCTGACGAGCCTACGAAGCCGAGTCCAGCAAAGTCGCGGTGATTGAGCACGACGTCGTTGATTTCCTCGGCGTCGCCGGGTATGAATTGGATGACGTCTGGAGGGAGACCGGCCTCGAGCAGGATCTTATGTACCAAGGTGCTGGCGTACACATTGGATGGAGACGGCTTCCAGAGCACCACGTTGCCCATGAGCGCAGGCCCAGAAATCAGATTGCCGCCAATGGCAGTGAAGTTGAAAGGCGAGATGGCGTACACGAATCCTTCCAGCGGGCGGTAGTCCAGACGCGACCACATGCCATCGCTGCCGCGGGTCGGCTGTCTTTCCAGCAGCTCGGCGGCGTAGTTGCAGTTGAGGCGGAAGAAGTCAGCCAACTCGGCGGCAGCGTCGACCTCGCCCTGCCAGATGTTCTTGCCCTGGCCGAGCATGGTCGCTGCAATGAGGTCGTAGCGGTACGTGGTCGCGACGAGCTCTGCGGCCTTGAGGAAGATGGCGGCACGGTCGACGAAGGGCGTTTGTTCCCACGACTTCTTCGCCGCGAGCGCAGACTCGATGGCGGCCGCGACCTGCTCTTTCGACGCGAGTGGACAGCTGGTGAAGGTGGTGGCATGTTCGGCGGGCAGCGGCTGGTCCCACGCCTTGCTCACGGGTTGCGATGTGCCGTTGACGACAATCTGGCTTTGGAGCGGGAGCTGAGAGGTGAGCCTCTGCAGGGCCTGCTCTAGTTTGGCGCGCTCGGGGGAGCCTCTCTCGTACGTGGGGTTGGGTTCGTTTCGTGGATCAGGGAGCCTGAAGGGTACCGTGGCCATGGCGCGGAACTGTGGGCGAGGAAGCGCGCGCGGTCGGCGGAATGTAAGAGGTTGCGGCCGTAGTCGCAGGCCTGACATGTTGTGCGGCGGATTGAAGTCGCCATGGCGAGCTGCGGAAAGGCATTGAAGTAGCTGCTCCGCCTGCGTCGTCGCCGGTATAGGAGCGATGGAAAGCGCGACCGGCAGACAGCCGGCGCGGGAAGGCGCGGGCGGGAGCGCCGCCGTTGGGGGAGGCGCGACCGGGAGAGCGGCCGATGGTGGAAGTCGCGACCGGGCAGGCAGCCGAGCGGCCAGGCACAGTCTACAGCCAGTCTCCTCGAGCTGAGGCCTTGAAGATGCACCGGTGACGGCAAGTTGCTTCTTCTTAATCCGTGTCAGCCCAGCTGCAGTCCCGTCGAGCCCCTCCACTGCAGTCCCGTCGAGCCCCTCCACTGCAGTCCTGGAGCTCACCACCATCACATGTCTTCGCACGTGCCCCCGCGCGGCGTATGGTGCCCCGCCGTCACCTTCTTCCACCCGGACACGGACGAACTGCAACTGGACGCGCAGGCTCGATACTTCGAATATCTGTCCACCACCGGGCTCGCCGGCCTCGTGGTGCTGGGCACGAATGCAGAAACGTTTCTGCTGACGCGCGAGGAGCGCAAGGAACTGGTCGCGACCTGTCGCCGCGCCGTCGGCCCAGCATTCCCCATCATGGCCGGCGTGGGCGGCCATTCGACGCGCCAAGTGCTGCAGCACATCGACGACGCAGCCGACGCCGGCGCAGACTCCGTCCTCGTCCTCCCGCCCGCCTACTTTGGCCCTGCCACGACGCCACAGGTCCTCGAGCGCTTCTACGGAGACGTCGCCGCGCGCAGCGCCCTGCCCATTATCATCTACAACTTTCCAGGCGTCTGCAATGGCGTCGATCTCGACTCGGCCTTCATCACCACCATGGCCCAGCGCCACCCCAACATCGTCGGCGTCAAGCTTACGTGCGGTTCTGTGGCCAAAATCACACGTCTGGCCGCCGTGCTCCCCCAAAGCCGCTTTTCCGTGTTCGGCGGACAGTCCGACTTCCTCATCGGAGGCCTGAGCTCGGGGTCGTCAGGCTGCATCGCAGCCTTCGCCAACGTCTTCCCCAGGACCATATCGCGCATCTACCATCTGTACCAGCACGGCGCCATCGATGAAGCGCTCGCCTTGCATCAAAAGGCGGCCCTGGCTGAGCAGCCCATCAAGGCGGGCATTGCGGCGACCAAACACGCGGCCGCAATCCACAGCGCCGCATATGCCGGCATCGATAACGCTGTCGCGCTGTTGAGACCGCGTAGACCCTATCTTGAACCGGCTGACCCCGTTAAGGAGCGTATCCGGTCGACCATGGCAGAGGTGGCCAAAATCGAACAGAGTCTGTCCACGGTCAAGCGGCCTAATGTAGTCGAAAAGGTAAATATACCTTTTCCGCAGCTACACGCAGCGTCCCGGCTCTAACACCCAGGTAGCTGAAATTTCCAGATATATAGGATAGATGGAGAAATGTTGGAAGCTCAAATGACTGGTGGCGAGAAGCCGTATGCAGCGTCGAGGGATAGGCCTCATTTCAAAATCGTCAATCCAACACCCCTTCGTCTTATCTGAATACCCACGTCAGGGCTACAAACAGAAGCGGCCCAGAAGCGCTTTAGGCGTATTCACCACGTGTGCCTACGCCCCAAAGTTCCGCGGGTTCGTTCCCGAGATGGTGGCAAGCTCACCGGCCACGCTGCCGAAACGCGCTCGATACACGACGACTGGGGTAGCCGGCTCGGAAAGTCTATACCCCACAGCGATCCCTGCCATTCCTCACCTAGGCTGTTTAGCACTAACCGAGGGTTCGGTAGTGTTATCATGGGGGTGCTGACTTCTAGAAGGATATGTATACAGAGGCCCCAGCCAGCCAACTTCAGGACTCCATCCTCACCCTCCAGTCCATTTCCTCCTCCCCCTTTGATCGAAAAGTTTCCGTCCTTCCACAATGGCAGACGACAAGGACTACATCTCCGCTCCCGGTGAGAAGGCTGTCGATGTAGCATCATCGGATAAGGATATCTATCGAGTCGACACCCAGTACAGCGTCCGTCGCGGCTCTGTTGGCAACGCCGACGAGCTTCAGCGACATCTTGGAAATCGGCAAGTCCAACTAATCGCCATTGGTGGTTCTATCGGCACGGCGACCTTCGTCAGTATCGCCAATGGTCTCGTCAAAGGGGGCCCGGGAAGCTTGTTCCTCGCCTACACCATCTACTCCTGCATGCTTGGCTTAGTCAACAACTGCCAGGCTGAGATGTCTTCTTATATGCCCGTTACCGGAGGCTTTATCCGCATGGCTGGCAAATGGGTTGACGAGTCGTTCGGCTTTATGGTTGGCTGGAATTTCTTCCTCTACGAGGCGCTCCTTATCCCGTTCGAGATCAGCGCACTGAATCTCGTCTTGACTTTTTGGCGCGACGATATACCCGTAGCTGCAGTTGTGGCGGCCTGTATTGTGCTCTACTTGTAAGTTACTCTACACGGAAACCCAGGCGAGAACTAACTAAAATCCCAGCTCGATCAACGCATTCGTCGTAAAGTGGTATGGTGAGGCGGAGTTCTGGCTTGCCCTCGGAAAGGTCTTCCTCATTCTGATCATGTTCTCCTTCACCTTCGTTACTATGTGCGGTGGGAACCCGAAACACGACGCATACGGTTTCCGATACTGGAACAAACCTGGAGCTTTCGCGGAATACATCACTACCGGTGCCCTTGGTCGATTCGAGGGTTTCCTAGGCGCCCTTTGGAGCGCCGCATTTACCGTCGTCGGCCCCGAGTACGTGTCTATGGTCGCCGGAGAAGTCAAGCTTCCCAGGAGGTACCTCAAGAACGCATTCAAGGCGACATACGCACGTTTCGCCTTCTTCTTCATCGGCAGCGCGCTATGTGTGGGCATCATCACTCCGTACAACGATACCACCTTGGTGGAAATTCTGAGCGGCAAGTCCCACGGTGGAGGGACCGCAGCGGCATCACCGTACGTTATCGCCATGCGGAACTTGGGCGTCGAAGGCTTGCCTCATTTGACCAACGCACTCCTCTGCACCAGTATCTTTTCAGCCGGTAATGCCTACACATACTACGGAACCCGTTCACTCTATGGTCTCGCCATCGAAGACCAGGCTCCCAAGTTCCTCCGCAAGTGTACAAAGGCCGGTGTGCCTCTGTATTGCCTCGGCGTCACAATTTTGTTCCCGTTTCTCGCATTCCTCAACGTCTCCAGCGGATCCGCCAAAGTCCTAACCTGGTTCACGAACGTCATCACCGCGGCCCAGATCATCGACTACCTCGTCATCTGCGTCACATACATCTTCTTCTACCGAGCATGCAAAGCTCAAGGAATATCTCGACGCACGATGCCCTATTTCGCCTCCTTCCAGCCATACTGCGCGTGGATACCCCTCGTGTTCCTTACCTGCGTCGTTAGCTGCTACGGATACACTGTGTTTCTCCCCGGCGGCTGGGCCATCGACACGTTCTTTACGTACTACATGATGGTCCTCGTCGATCCTGTGCTGTTCCTCGGGTGGAAGATCATCAAACGCACGCGTTTCGTCAAGCCGACGGAGGCAGATTTGATTTGGGACAAGCCGACTATCGACGCTTACGAGGAAAACTGTACGGAAATACCCGTGGGGTTCTGGGTGGAGATCCTGCAGATGTTTGGCTTCCGGAGGAATAAGAGCGCGCACTCGAAGGCTTAAGCGAGCAGCCCGGTCGTACGGGAACGGAGCAGGTAAAACTATATCTCGCGCTGTTTGATTGGACCTTTTGGAAATATATGCGGAACTTTCGTTGCGGGCGAGCATCTCCTCGAAGGCGGCTCTATTGCCGTGTTGGCTTTGCACTATCTGTTCCATGTAGATGTTTAGACGCGTGTATTAAGCTATCGGGCCTGAATCAGTCGATAAATCAGTCGAACATGGGACGTGTGGCTTCGGCGATTAATGGTGCGCTCCTACAGTATCACCACTGTGAGCGCAAGAGTGCAACGAATACCGGGACGTGGTCCGATACGAGGGAGAAGAAAAGGGGGTTCAATCGGCTGCGGACCCGGTGGCCGGCTGGGCATCCGATGCCGCATCAGCGTTTTCCGCTAGGCTGGATTAGGATCGAGTATCCAGCGGCTGGTGATAAGGCTGCGGTTGGCAACGAAACAATGCGTGAGGTGATGGAGTCGCAAGGAAAAAGACGAAGGGCTGGTATCGAAATGGAGTGTTGCACCTTCCTCGGTTTGGAGAGGAGACCATCACGTGACGTTGCCGCTAGGTGATGTTCCTTTCCCCGCATCACGAATTCTGCGCAAATGCAACACTGACCTCTTTTGAGGTGCCACGCTTTCTCTTATTGTGCTCGAGGCTCTCCGGAGTCATCGTTGCCCCGCCTTGCATGTGACGTGTCACGTATGTGGTTTGACGCCCTGCTGCTGAGGACAGGCTGCCATGGCTGCAATGGCGAATTCCAACGAACAGCGACGAGTAACGAAACGATCTTCCAACGCGTATGGCTCACCGTCTCTTGCGTTCAAAGAATTCTTCTGACGTCCGCCATCTGGGCATAGCTGCGCGCGATGCCGGAGGCAGAAGATCAAATGCTCGGGTCTGCAGCCCTGCGCGAACTGTAGCAAACGAAACCTCCGCTGCGTCTTTGATGACCGGGATAACAAGATCATGGTAACTCAAGGGTAAATACGCGCTGGATTCCAGTCGGGAATGCAACGCTTATTCCTCGCTTAGCTATCTCCTTGACTTGGAGCAAAAAGTGGCGCGGCTGGAACGGGGCCAGGGCTTCGCCGCGCGCGCCTCTGAACCGCGACATGGCGACCAGAATGCTGCAGAACGAGTTGAGAGAAGCGTTTCACAGGACGGGCAGCCCCGGCGGGCTTCTCGACCCAGTCCTGGAGAAACTTGGGAGAGTTCCCCAAGGGGAGATCGGGCGAACCTCGAAACTGCCGAGTTGACCAATCCGCTAATTGAGTCGCCATCCAAGTTTATGTCATCATCTACTGGAAGGTCGTGTGAGTTTCAGTGCCAATTTTCTTAAAGAAACCTCTCTTACATATATCTCAGTCTACCTTGGCACTTCGTCAAACTGGTCTTTCCACGGACAGCTTCTTAATCTGGTTCACCAGCATATCCGCAGGACACCCCTTCCTGGTGCTGACTTGCTCTTCGATGGCTCAGCGTATCACCTTCCCTGGGACGGCTCTCGAAGCTTGCCAGACTCAAGCACCCCCATCGTCCCAAGTATCGACTACGCTATGTTTTTGATCAATGCCGTCAAGTTCCATTGCGCTCAGCTCGTGCACCTGTTTGAGGAGGATGACTTCATGGCCAACTTACATGCATTCTACTCCAATACAGAGAATGGAGCACGGAAGGGGAGCTTATGGTACATTCAATTTCTGCTAATCATCGCGTTTGGGAAGACATTTGTGCAGCGTAAGCATCATGATTTCAGGCCTCCTGGTGCCGACTTTTTTGTCCACGCGCTCCAGCTTCTTCCGGACACCAACCGCCTTTGCCGAGAACCGTTTCTGGCGGCTGAGGTCTTGTGCTGCATAGCACTTTACTTGCAAGCTTTGGACTCGCGAAACGCAGCGCATGTAACAGTACGATGCTTCTTGTCAGGCCTATAAGCTACTGCTAATTATTGTATAAGATAGGTCAAGCCATGCGCATAGCACTAGCTCAAGGCATGCACACAGACATGCCGGTCGCTGACTTGGGAGAGCCACTTGTTCAGCGATCTCGTAAGATTTGGTGGACCGTCTATATCTTGGACCGGCAAATGACTTCACTGATGGGGCTACCTCAATCGATTCGGGACGACGATATCTCGTGTCAGCTCCCAAGATTTTCTGGCTCAGCCCAGCGAGCTGCAGCGCTCAAGATGCAGATCAAACTCGCACGTATATACGCGGAAATAGCCAGGAGTGGGTGAAATTCTCCCCTCCTTGTAGCGTATTCGCTGACGCGCGCTAGCTGTGTATGGGTCCAAAGGACGACTCCGCAAGAAGTTTGTCCTTAGTATCAAGGCCGTGCTGGACGATGTGGCTGCAATTGCGGAAGAGCTACGAGACTCGTTCCCTTTACATGGTGACGAGCGGGTTGGCGGCATCTCAAGAATGCCGGCGCATCTGCACCTTCTCTACTACCAGGTACGTACTACTACGTGTATGTTTCATTGTCTCCGCGCTTACAAATTTACGTAGACTATCGTTGTCGCCACAAGGCCGTTGCTTTTCTGCTGCGTAAAGAAGGTCTTTGAATCTCCGCGAGAGGTCGGGCCTTTGGTCTCCTCGCGCAAAATCAGACCTTTATTAAACATGTCTCTGGAGGCTTCACAGAAGATCCTGAACATTCTAGAAAGCCTACAGGATCAAGGTCTTCTAGGTAAGGCGCTCGAAACTCTATCCTAGTATCGTGGACTGACAGTGGTGAAGAGACGTTTCTCCCATGGGACCTTGACTCGCTCTTTGTATCCACAATGGTCCTTATACTCACCCGATTCGTTGATGAGAGTCTATTGGACAGCCGATCTCCATGGTTAGATAAGGCTTTTGCCTTTCTTGATACTATGGTATCGAGCGGGAACCGGATCGCCGAATTCCGGATCGTCGAGCTACGCAAGCTAGAAGAGATGCTATCTGAATATTCCGCCACCCGAGGTCAGGAGATAGGTGCGTCTACCATAGACCAATCGGGCTTGGAGCATGGGCAACGGACGGCAGCACCACCATTCCCAGCGGATATCCATTCCACGGCAAACCTGCTTCCGTCGGAGGATACTATGGCGATGTATACCGGCCTCAGCGATGAAAGCAGTGGATTCGGCGAGGATTTGACGGCGGAGCAAATTCTTGCTGTCGCGGAGTCTATGGACCTTGGAGGCACCGATTGGCTGTCATCTTTTGCGACCATGGATAATTATCAGATGGTCGATCCTCCTAATATGTAGGCCAAATGAGTTCGCATTCACGAAATACCTGACCGTATGGGATCTGGACATAACAGCAAGTTCCCTTCGCATTAAATGTGCGCGGGAACAATACATTACAGCTTCGACTCTACCTGGTTGATTTGGAGATCGCGAATTTCCTTTACGTCTCCTATGCGCCAGCTCACATCATCCTGGCTCGCATTACCGTTCGCGGAACTGAAATTCCTCCACCGCCACCTAGAAATGGGCTGCTGCTCTTTCGCAGAATTCAAGAGGTCAATCACCCATCGTCCAACGATAGGGAACATCTTGAAACCATGACCGGAGTCGCCGGAAAGCAGCATGACCGAGGAGGACGTTTGCGGAACGTAGTCTACAACAAAGTCGGAATTGCTCGTATCCGCAAACCAGCACAGAGACTTCCTCACCAGTGGTCGATCCGCGAGATGCGGGAGAGTCTGGTGAAGAAGCTCGCGCATTTTCAGCTCGTCCTCGTGCGGCACAAAGCGGCTTTGCGTCAAAGATTCCGGCGGTTGGGAGAGGCCTGTCGAAGGGTCGGTGTTGACATAGCCGCCTCCCATCGGGCACAGCTTGAGCAGGTTCGTTTTGGGCTCCGGTTCGAAGAAGAAGCCAAGATCTCGGGCGTACGTGACAGGTATGCCGCGAAGAGAAGACGTCTCGTCCTCCGTGAGGCGGACGTGGGCGACGGACCAAGCTTTGGCCTGAACGTGCGAACCAATTTCGGGCACGATTTTCGTGGCGGCCGCACCAACGGCCACAATGACGAGAGAAGCAGCGTGGAAATCGCCGCCCTGTGTGCGGACTCCTACGCTCTTCCTCCCCTGACATGTGTCCTCGTACACGATTTCTCGGACCGCACCTACTTTCTCCCCAAGGAGGAATCGGACTCCATTCTCACGCGCAGCTCGGTAGACGCCGCGTAGTGCATTTGCCGAATGCACGTATCCGTCGTACTTGTTAATATACCCTTTCCATCCAGGTAGCTGGCCGTCGAATTGCCAGCACAGTTGCCGGAGCTCATCGCGTCCGTCCACGCCAGAAACGAACGGTTTCATGACCGGATGCCGCTCAGCAGCCGCGCGAAACCGCTCCATGGTATCGACAGCTTTCTGCGGCGCTGCTCCCGTTACGCAGTTCAAGAAGCCGACGCGATGGAAGTGCGGCGCGAAGAGCGGTGTCTGCCAAGCTTGCATCGCTTCCTACCGGTTCGTCCAGCAAGTTAGCTCTTCTGGTCTAGTGGACCCATGTATCCCGAAATGGCCAAATAATTGGAAACGATGGGCATGGGTAGGGCAGACGCACAATGGCTAGCTCGGTGTAGAAGCCATCCTCGTACTCGGCCCGCATGATCTTGTTGAGATCGTTCGCGGCAGACCAGCGCGAGGGTATCTCCTCGTCCTGCTCGAAAACGGTAATGTCCGTGTATCCACGCGTGGAGAGCTCGAGAGCGGTGGAGAGGCCGAATGCTCCGCCGCCGATGATGATGACTGGCTCGCTCTTTGGTAAGGGCATTGTTGAATGACGGGGGTTGTGGATGGATGGATTTAGGGGGAAGATGAAGAAGTCGAATCTAGTAACGAAGGCGAGTCGTGTGAGTGTTGTATGACGGAAGCCGGTTCGACGACGTTATTCTATTGCAGATGAGAGCTCGGCATCCGGCTCTTTGATCACCGGCTGCGCTCGGAATCATCGGAATGAAGTTCCTCAAGTGATCGACAAGGCCACTGCGCTAGTGGTGGGGTGACCAGATCCGGTGGGTTGATCCGACGTCTAGAACTGTGGGTCCGGGATAGACCGGGAAGCAACCCGTTCCTCGCGGGACGACAGCCGATCTCTCTCGCCTACTCCGCATCTCTCACCGACAGCTGCGATGACAAAGAGCTGGACGAGTGGACTGCGAAGGAAAAACTGATCCGATGGGGAGCAGCTATGTGTAGGAGATAGCTCCATGGCGCTGGAATCGGAGCAACGAAATCACAAAGCCGCATCCCCATCAGTGGACATGCTCTTTGCGAGTATTCCCCTAGCTTCACCTCCATGGCCGGTCCCGTGACTCAGCAATTCGAGTCCAGCAGCTTCCGTCCAGGTTTCAAAACGACCACTCTACCAGGCATTCTAGCAGGAGACATCTCCGCAGCCGCCATCTCAGCAACTCTCATAGCACCCGTGATTACAGCCATAGACAGGTCCGTCTCATCCCAATGACTATGCCCTGAGTAATTCATAACCCCTATGCAGAGCCGTTGTCGAGCACGCCGGCTCAAGCACCCGCCCTCTCCACACAGCTCTCAAAACCCACATCCTTTGCTCATTCCGGCACCCACGCCTCTTCTTCACCGCAAAACCCTTCTTCTACGTCTGGACGCTGTACGCAGCCACATATTCCACCGCGAACGGCGTGGAAAGCCTCGGCAGAGCATATACGCAGAACACGAACCAGGTGCTAGTTACCTCCCTCACATTCCTCTCGACATGCCTCGTGAACGTGCCGTTGGGAGTATGGAAAGACGTCCGATTTGTCCAGATTTTTGGACATGGTCGCACCCCGCCGAACAGCGCCCTTGACACTCCAACCACGAAACTCGGCGCAGCAACAGCGCCGCACGCTACGCTCCACCACCACCCAACAGCAAAGTTCCCGAAGACAGTAGCAGCCACCTTTCTCCTCCGCGACGCTCTCACCATCGCAGGCTCTTTCACACTGCCTCAAATGCTGTCCCACTCGATACCCGAGACGCTGTTGTCCGACCCTGTGGCGAGGATGGCGGCGATGCAGCTCGTGGTGCCCGTGCTATCGCAGGTCGTCGCTACGCCTGTGCATCTCCTGGGGCTGGATCTGTATAGCCACCAGCACAGGCGCGAGCGGGGAGAGCGGATGTGCAGGATTCGGAGCAATTTGGGAGCTGCGACTTTGGTGAGGTGTGCTAGGGTTATTCCGGCGTTTGGGGTGGGGGGAGTTGCGAATGCGGGGCTGAGGAGGTTGTTTCATCGGAAGGCGGGTGTGATGGGTTGATTGGGGAGGTGAGCGGTGGTGGTATATCTGATCACAATTGCGAAATGGATCTACGCAAGCAAGTGTAGGATACGATATACGCTTGATAGTACGAAGAACAGCCGCAATGCCGCCCACAGGGGAGATGTGCACAGAACTGTTTCATTCTCTGCATTCAAAGTACATAAACGAAGGTTCCTCCCGAGCTCCTTGTCAATATCGGCAGCTTGTTTAGCGAGTAACAAGCACAATGATTCGGCATTGGTTTTCCTTATCGGCGTCCAACTAGACTTGGCGGAGCCTAGAGACGACGTACTGGACTTTCCGTGCCAATCGGCAGACCTCCCGATGAACGGAAAGCCGACGCGAAGGTCACGGGAACACTGAAGCCCCGCGTAACTAACTGCGATGCGGGGCTCACCAATTACATGAAGAGGCGTCTCGGGAGACAGCAGAGCATATATGAGATATTGTCCAGTAAAAGACGGTCATACAATATAACGAAGTTCTCGTTGTTGCTCCTCGCCCACTTCTGGCAGCGGTTACGCCAACCTTCACTAAGCCATAATGCTACACTTTCGACTCAGCAGTACATTGTTTAGAGGGGTAGTGAAGAATGGCTTCGGAGCAATATCCAGCACCAGTTTCCAAGCCCGGCTGTCCTCAACTGCAGTGCCCCGGCTCAGGAGCAGCAAGACGCCCAACTCAGCAACAGGATCAAAACCACTCCCTCCCCCCGACTTCCCACTAGCCACTATGCCTCTTCGCATGCTGCTCCGCTCTTTATTCATCGCCACCATTTCCTCGAAACGCTATCTGCTCATTCCGGCGCTTCACCTCCTCGCCTTTTTTGCAAAGCCCGGTAGGAGCTTTCTGTTCAACGTCGATCGGAATCCTGTGCTGCATGCGCTGCTGAAGAAGACGCTGTACAATCAGTTCTGTGCGGGGGAGTCAGTGCAAGAGACCAAGGCGTGTGTGCGGCAGTTGAAGGAGCTGGGGTTCCAGGGCGTCATTCTTACGTACGCAAAAGAGATGGTGTTTGATCATAAGGCTAGAGCCGAGCTGCAGGAGAGTGTCGATTTGGAGAGAGCAAAATATGGGAAGGTGGCGCCTGAGTGTAGCGCCAGCATCGAGGAGTGGCGTCTGGGTACGCTCAAGACGGTTGATCTAATCGACGAAGGTGATATGCTCGCTATAAAGTACGTCCTGCAACTTCTCACCATCCATCAATTGCACTCCACCCAAGCTCTCCAATACTAACTTACCCCAAGAATGTCTGGCGCCGGCCCATCCGTCACATCCGCCTTCGCCAACAACGCCCCGCCCCCGCCGCAACTCCTCTCCGCGCTCTCCGAAATCGCCACAAAATGCGCAGACCGGCGCATCCGCCTGATCGTCGACGCCGAATCGCAGCACATCCAACCCGGCATTGCCCATACCACACTCTCACTCATGCGCCAATTCAACCACGGCGCCGACGCCGTCATCTACAACACGTACCAAGCCTATCTGAAGAGCACGCCGGCGGTCCTCGCGCACCATATCGACGCCGCGGAAAAGGAGGGCTTCACGCTGGGTCTGAAGCTCGTGCGCGGCGCGTACATGCACTCGGACGACCGGGCGCTGATCCACGCCCGCAAGCAAGACACCGACGACGCGTACAACGCGCTTGCGCAGGGCGCGCTGTGCCGGCGCATCGGGGAGTTCGGCGCCCCAGACGCAGACGCCCGGCGCTTCCCCGCTGTGAACCTGCTCCTCGCGAGCCATAACAAAGACAGCGTGCTTGCGGCGCACAGGCTGCATGCGCAGCGCGTGGAGGCAGGACTTCCGACTGTGCCGGTGTGCTATGCGCAGCTGCATGGGATGGCGGACGCGGTGAGCTTTTCGCTGCTGCGGGAGGAGGGGGCGGAGGGGGAGAAGCCAGGGGTGTTTAAGTGCTCGACTTGGGGGAGCGTGGGCGAGTGCGTGGGGTATCTTTTGAGGAGGGCGGTGGAGAATAGGGATGCGGTTTTGAGGACGGGGGAGGAGGTTCGGGCGGTGAGGAGGGAGGTGGGGAGGAGGTTGGGTTTGTGGGGGTTTAGGGGGAGGCGGTAGGGGGTGGGAGTTGGGGGCTTTGTGTTGTAGGAGGTTAATAGTATGGGGAGGATACGGGAATTGGATGGAACGAGAAGAAGTTCCTGAACGAAAAAGAAGGGAAGGAGGGGAAGGGGAGGGGATAACCGGTCTGCAAGTTAAAACGCAGTGACAATTCACCTCGTGTCTGCACTGCTCTGTCCTCCGCTAGCTATACTGCTACAATCGAAACATACCATTTGAGCGCAGATCAGCCTAGACGGGTGAGACTGGTGGAGACAAGCTCCCTCCACGCTCCGCCGTTCCGTCATGCCTAGGTGGGTCTGCGCCGGTGTCTGCCGTTCCGCCAGCTCGGAGATCCCTCACACCACCCTTCACTGGCGAGACGGGCGACTCTACGGCCGTGCTCAGAGTTTCTGCGCGGTTAATACCGGGGTCGATGGGACCCACCTGCTCCCTGTGCTGCACGCTCCCGTTCTTCTCACTCATGGATCCCTTCCCCGCCACTGCATCGCTAAGCGTGGTATTTGCCTTTTCTTCCTCAGCAGCCTGCAAGCGAGGATGCTTGACGTTGATGATATCTAGGACAGCGAGCTTCGCGTTCTGTTCTGTTAGCGGCACGAGGTCGTCGCCACCGCTCCAGGTTCCGCAGCCAAGCTCCTCGTGTGCGAGGCGCTGCAGCTGGAATGTGCCGTTCAAGGCCCATTCGAGACGATGGTATGGATCTATTTTGCGGTGCTGCGGGTGCGAAGACAGGGTTAGCCGGTGTCCTCAGTTAGAGGAGAGGGAATGAGTCCACGTTCTGAGGCGGGAGAGGAATTGAAGATTCGTGTTCCGCGACGTACGTACCTTCTGGATGAACGCTGCCAGTGACTCTAGGGTATAGGAGGTGAGGATGATGAGAACGCCGAGAATAAGAGTAAGGCTGAGGCCGAGGACGGAGAAGGATGTGTAATCCGTCGATCGGACTTTCTGTGTGTGGTTGCTTTAGCGCTGAACTGCTGTTTGGATAATGTGTCTCACCTGCTGACAGCGTGCCTCGCGTTCCATGTCATCATTCGGTCTAATAAAGAACCGTTGCAAATTCTGGTCAGTCGGACCTGTAGCTTGCTCGATAGTCATGCGCTGTAGAGCAGCCAAGGTCGTGGCATGAAGGTGCTCGACGTCACTCTGCCACTGATTGGACGGCAACGGGCCCTGGATACCAGCATTTAGTGTGTACCTGGAGGTCAACGCGGTGGTACCAAGTCGATCGATGATTGCCTCGATGCTGGGAGAAACGTTGAGCGCCCAAGTCATCGCGTAGAAAGAAGCATTTTGGCGAGGCCTCTGGAAAAGCGACGCAGCCTCGTTGGCCACTTGGGTGAAACCAGCCAGTTTTGTGCACCCATTGGCACCGTTTACGTTCGGATCGCACCATTGATGCTGCACTTTGCACCCCACGAAAGAGGCCGGTCGGTCCGGAAGATATAATGGCACTGTGATCTCGCCGTCGCCGTCCTCCTTTGTGGTTGCCATGTACCACGGGTCGGTGACGGGCTGCACGAAGGCGATGTCGTTCGCAGAAAGTGCAAGCAAGGCTAGGTCCGCGTCCCCATTGGTCTGGTTAATTTCTGGGATCGGGTCAAAGTCGCCCCAGTTTTCCGCATACACTCTAAGTGCCCTGATGATAGTCAGCAATCAGACGACACTCGAGCGGAACGAATCAGTGCGGTTATGGCCATTCACCGTAGAAGGGATAATGGATGCTTACATGATAGTATAGTCAGCCGCGTTTTTGGAGATGTCCGAGGGCCGAAACATAGGATAGTCGTATGTGTAGTTGGCGCCAGTGTGAGTGTTCGGTCCGTACAGATATGTCATGTAGGGGAAGTCGAACGATCCCATAGTTTGGTTCACGGGTTCCGAATAGCCTTCTGTGCGTAACGGCGCGCAGGCAGTCACCCGTCTGTAGAGAAATCGATCCTGTGGGGCCGCATTTAGCCCCAAGTCATGGTGGCTATCGAAGTGCCCCGTATCGATGACGAGGTTATCGTTATTCAGCAAGCATATCTTCGGATCGAATGGGCAGGTTGCGTTGCGGGTAACGCTACCTTCGATACTTTTCTGCACGTAGGTCGGGCACTCCGTCGTTGCAGCCTCGCCGCGATAGCAGCGCTGAGCGTAGGCGGCGGCATCAACTGTAAGCTGGGTAGCATAGTTGATGAGCGTGTCCGTGTCGGTGAAAGTGAAGTTGGAATCCCACCACAAGTAGCCGCAGTTTGGGCTGGATATCATGACTTCCCCACCCATAGAGCTTGAGATGCGCGAGGAGAATACACCCGCGACTGCGAACCCAGCGGCCAACGTGGCTGCCAGCGCGAACAGCGGAAGTAAACGCTTCAGTACGCGAAGAAGCCCTGCCTTGCGTCGCCAGGACCAGATCATCCAGAAGATCTCAGCTAGCACGCCTGAGGACGAGTCTGAGTTCCGGAGTAATGCTTGGCGCTGGTGGTAGAGAGCATCTCGCGGATCTTTGGATGAACGCCAATGGTGGACTGCGAAACAGGAGATTCTCCAAAATCTAGCGCCAACATAGGTGACAAACACGGCCAGAGCTGCAGTCAAGAACGCGCCGCTGCTCTTCGTAAGTGTGATCGTTGCTCCTTTGATAGAGCCCTGGGACCAATTCGTCCAAAACCCGAGTACGACGCCATTCTCGGCGACACGGTTAGCGACGGTCGAGCTCATCGCTTGCGGAAGCAAATTTCGGTGGGGTTTGCTGGCTTAGGGAGGCGGCGGTTAGTTTCTGTTCTGCCTGAGCGCATGCGGTGGTTTAATGTATGGTTGGGATTGAGGCTCTCCTGAAACCTTTCGAAGCACCATTTTCTGCTGATTGGATGCCCTGCCATGCGTTCCAACAACGTGGCAGTTGAGGACCACATGGCTACTGCAACACGGCCAGCCTTGCGAACGCGGCTAGCCGTTTGCGGCTCGTGATAAGAGTTAGATGGCGTTGGTTGGCTAGCAGTATTGATTCGGTGGTGACATCTCTTGAAAAAGATGCAGGAGCTGAAATGCAGGTTAAACTGCAGTGCGTCCATTGAGAATGGAAACATGTAATATCCCCGGTCCGTGATTGCATTTTGGGAGGGGGAGCCAGTCCTCGTGCAAGGGTGGGTGCGTCGATCGCGTGTGGGGGCCAGCCTTGTGCCACGAGGCTGAAATCAAGAGATTGATGATAAAGCCTACTGATACGGGAAGCCTATTTGTTGCCGGATGTGCTCAGGTGGTTACTGGTTCACGTGAACATTTGTGTCCTATATATATAGTTATTTTCCCCATAGTTCCATCAATGGACTCCTGTCTCTTTACTTGCCAGCTTCCTGAAGCTGTTCCATTATATATGAAAGCCGTCACGCATGCATGGGACACAGAAGATCTTTATTGACGTGTGCTCTAGTTCTATCTCCGTGTAAGTGAACGCCGCACAGACAATTGGAATATGTACTCACCATATGCGCAGAATCTCGGAACTAGCAAAAACTACCTAAGCAATAGTCGAAGACGTCCCATCGACTAGTTTCATTGCTGAAAGTCTCCCCAACCATCGGGGTTCCCTTCGGCGCCTTCCATTTCCTCATCCTCATCGTCAGGCTGCTTTTGGACGGTGAACATCATGTGTACCTCATATGAGCTGACATACCCACACCATACCGTCACTTTCGAAATAGTCGTCTTCTCCCCGAACGTATTCTTATGCATGATGAGGAAGATGGCGGCGCCCCGTCCGTTCGGTGAACTCAACAGCGCCCTGCCCTCCTCGGTGTCCATGTTAAACTCGCGGCGACGATTCCACCGATAGAACCTGCGACAGTTGGCCTTGACGTCGTTCACGCCCAAGATACGCTGCAGAATTTGTCCCGTTTCGGCGTTCGCTATGTCGGCCGAGACAATGTACTTGATGTTCGAGATGTCCTTCTGCCGGCGCCGAGCGACCTCCATCCAATCGAGGAAGACGACCTCGCCCCAGTTCTTCAGCCTTGGCACCGTAGGAATCTGGTACATCCGAGCCATGTATGCGGGACCAAACTTCTGCCAGCCGACAAGGACACCGTCGTCGACATTGATAAGGGAGGAGAAGACAGCGTTGGTTGCCTGAAGATGTGAGTATGATGGAGGTCCTATGTAAGGTAGTGCTTGACCTACGGGATACGTGACGCCGTCATGTACTGTCTGCGTTGTGTGCTTCCATGCAGCGGGGACAACGGGACCTCCCTCATCGTCTCTCCTCCAGTTTATATTGAGAGCACGGGTCATGTGTTGCAGACCAGGTCCGGCGCCCATGCGGAAATCAGCAATGTCCCCACCGTTGACTGTGTAGCCCCAGCTCGTGAGATCCGCTACACGCGGTTAGCATCTACCAGCCCTCACGTCTTTCGGGGAACTTACCTGGGTAATTGACGAACGGGCTCTGGATGGATCCTGTCCTTCCAGGGAAGTACGTAACTGCGACCGAATCCCTCGAGCCCATGGCGGCGATCAAGCTGCAGCCTTCATTCACGGCCTCGACCCATTTACTCTGGCTGATTGGGGGATATGGCACCCGCTTCCAGAGATTGCCATCACCGGGGTCCGCCTCAAGGGCAAAGGTTGAGACATTGCCCGCGGAATGGACGGCAGCCGCATGCGTGAAGGCGAACAGGACGGCCGCGACCCCAGACACCGCAGTGGGAAACCTCAGAAGCCTCATGATGATTGGAATTCGAGTCGAACCGGAGGCGAAGTCGTTATAGAGGCTCTAACTTCGTCAATAGTTACCCGTCTGGAGAAGGAGAGCACCCCCGAATCTGTTACGTCTTCTCGAAGTCGCGTGAGCAGGTCGCGAGCTGCTTGCAGTCACCATTTGTGGTAAAAAGCGGTGAAGTATACCAATCCCGCTGATCCCCTTCCTTTCCGTCGAACCTGTTGCAGACGGGGTAACGCGAACTTAACGCGCAATGTGCAGCGCTGCGCGTCTTCCAGTGGCTGGAAGTAAACAAAAGCTTCACTCGTGCCCATCTCCACAGAACCGCCGTTGCCGTGGTGAAAAGCGAGTTCGCCGCCAACGCAAGATTTTACGCGCCCCTCCGCTGTCGTCCACAAGTTTTCTCCTCCACCGTCGTCTACGAGAGCTCTCCTCCACCGTCGTCGGGGAATTCTCTCCTCTACGCTCGTCGACGAGGGCTGTTCTCCGCCTTCTTTCCAACTCAGCCACAATCACTAACGGCCCGAAGAAGCCAGTGATAATACGGTACGTGAAAGCAAGCTCCCCGTTCCCGATCGCAGTGTGGTGCGGCTGCCACCCAGCCACATTGCGTGACGGACACCCCCTCCTAACCCAAGTATTCGCTTCAATGAGGCCGACATAAAAGCGCACATACATACAACATCCCAACATCGACCTATAACACTTTCAAGACAGTGCTCAAATCTCTCCAAGCGAGTGTCTCCTCAGCAGGAACGCCAGGATGTCCCGTCCTGACGATCTCAAAATCAAGGGTCGTGCTAGCGCTGGTTTTGCCCATGAGCCCGACGACTTCAAAATCAAGGGTCGTGCTGGCGCTGGTTTGAACCCAGCTCCGCCTTCCCAGGAGGCTCCGCCAAACGAGGGCTGGAGTCAGTATCGAAGCTACCTCAGGAACACTGGCCCAGACATGGTCTTCGGAAGCAACGGCGACATACGTGAGCCAGGGGACCCAACACCTTCGTCCCCGCGTTCGCCACTGCACATTCGAAGGCCGCGAGCGCGAGGACGACACCGGCGCCCGGACATGTACCCCCCGCCTGGGGATTTCTATACCCCATCGTACGAACCGCGTGGTTTTCCGGATGGCGATCGCCGACGACGCCAGGAGCGATCCCTGACTCGAGACTCCGAGCACTTTGAGTATAAGCACAACCGTTCACCGCGTAGCGAGTCTCGTGACTATCGATATAAAGACCGTGGACGGCGCCGTGAGCGTTCCCCTGCGGCAGAGTACGAGTCTACGTACCGCCGCTCCCCGTCCCGCTATGATCGCTCGCCGTCCCGCTCTCAGTCAAGGACACCGGTTCGCCGAGGACGTCCCCAGTATACCCAGGATCGATCAAGGAGTCCGATTCGTCATGAAGAGGGGCGCGGCAGCCCTCGGCGCCGTGGACGCTCTCGCTCGTCACGATGTCAACGCGATCACTATCGCGCAGTGCCTCGCAACCGATCCCGGGAGCCTGAACGCCGTAACACGACACGTGAAGGGCTCCAGCGCCGCAACCGCTCTCCGCTGCCACCGCAGGAAGAGGAGTACAGGGGGCATAGAGGCAGCAAACGGCGGGCGCCAGAGGCGGGCAGCTCGCATCCATCTCCGAAGCGCCGCCGCAGGGATCAGGCCTAAGAAGGAGCACTATGGACGAGTTGTGTGGGCGATGCTATGGTGCGATCACGGCTGATAAGAATGGTCCATGGACAGAAGTCGAGGATGGGTGAGCGTAGGCACAGATCCACTATGGGATGCGATTTGATTTTCTTGGGGACTGTGGGCCTCGTGTGATCCTCCGTAGAGGCGCGTTCGGTCTGTTGGTGGTTGGCGATATTCGGCAAGGGTAGTCATAGGCCGCCCGGACGTCCTATGATGTTCTGTGCTGTATTATAGTTTGCCCCCTCTTGTAAGCAACCATCCTCTCATGTCATCGATGCCCATGAGCCCAACCATCACCATCCGTGCAAACGCGTCCACGTCATCCGCGTTCGCTTGTTGGAGCACTTCGCCGAAGTCGAGCCCCTTGACCAAGTAGTGTTTCTTCTCATTCCAAGCGATGGCGAACTCGAGTGGTGACATGGCAGCCCACAACTCAGTGGAGACCGTCAAACGGTTTCCAGCGGCAATCTCATGTCTGCAAGTGGTAAAGCGTCCGCGAATGAGATTGAATATAGCAACAGTTTGAAAGACAGCAAGAAGTGTGCGACGACAGGATTCACGGAAGATGAAGGAAGTCCAGGCATCGCGAGCGGCATTGCTTGGATATAGTGGAAGAGTACCGATTTGTTCCGTTTCATGGATGAGGAGTTCGTGCAGGTCAGCCCCAACTGCTTCAAGATAAGGGCTCAAATTCTCGGCATGGTAGTAGCGTAGCTACATTGGATTGGAACTTAATCATGACAGTCATGGCGAATGGGCGGGTATACTTACATCGTCGCTGCATACGAGCATGGTATTGTACAGCAAGAGTGCGTGTGCTCGTGCGAGCATTTCGATTGGTGCGGTCTGGCATGGCTGAGCGATGAGGTTTTGAGCCCGGTCGATAATATGGCGTGCCACGAAAGTAGCATTCGTGTCATTCCGTGCAATGTATAGCGCGCAGGCGGCGTACACATCTACTAGTGTTAGGGACAGTTATTGATCGTCCGGATCCGTCATACCTTGAAGAGGCCGTGGCATGTAATCCTCATACAGCCTCGGATGGCTCCAATGCGTAGCATTCTCCTCGACCATCATCCGGGGCATGAGCTTCAGCTGCTCGATGGAATACTCCACTCTTGATGCAGAAAGCGGGGCAAGGATATTTGTAGGAAACTCTTTGGCTGTGACAGAATTGGGCCTGGATAGTGCCATTCCATCGTTGCGGAGCATGCCAGCGAGTGTCCCGAATGAATTGAGCGCCGCGGAGAAGTCGAAGTCCAGTCCCGCATCCAGTGCTGACGGAATATCGGAGACATCGACATCAAACGGCATCGCGACATCAACATTGCCAACCGGTGCATTCGCAACAGGGGTGTCTGCTTCGGAGTCGGCCATAGCGGGGACAGAAGCCTGAGGCGGAGGCGGATAAGTGCACCGCAGCTTCTGCCTGGTGCATCGAAGGCAGTTCGGTTGCTGGAGGTCGCATCTTCTCTTCGCCTTCGCACATTCAGAGCACGACTTCTGGCGACCCTGTGGATTCGAATGGCGCGTTCGGCCTGGCGGCATGCTTAGGGGATTCTGGTGAAGGTGGCCCGTAAGCTTGAGGTGAGGTCTGGTTTCGCGTTGGCACGCTTTACCCCTTTGGGATAACCCGTCATCGGTAAGGCGGCCAATTGCGTCAACATCATCATTCACGCACGCAGGTCAGACGATTGCCATTTCGCCTGATCGAGATTCCTCCAGCTTTGCTCCTTGACCAAGAATTCTGAGTGGTGGCGGGTGAGTGAGAGCATGGACGCCTTTTCCCGGCTCAAATCGTCCTCGTCCGCGCGGTCAACGAAAAAGCGCGGGCTTCCGCAGTCTGCGTGCGGACTTCCGAGATTCTACAACAGAGACGCCGAATACGCGAATAAGCGATCGCCATGTCGTACGTGTCGTTTAACTTCACTTCTAATGGTATCTGTATATAAAGATAGCCGAGGGGCGGCCTTCTTCCCTCTTCTGCATCAACTGGTTCTCCCTACGGTTACTTCTTCCGCCTCGAAGTCCTCCCACTTTCCGACATGCCTCAGAAGACCGCTTTAGTCATTCGAGCCACCGGCGCTCAGGGCAGAGGTGTAGTCAAGCATCTGGTCCGAACTGGATGGAATGTGCACGCCTTCGTGAGCGACCCGTCGTCCGACCGAGCTCTTACGCTGAAGAACTATGGCCCGGGTATATCTCTCTACAAGGGCGCGCTGAGCGACCCCCCATCCATCGAAGCCGCCATCAAAGGATGCAACGCAGTCTTCCTCAACCAGATGCCCACCCGCGGCGACGATACCGAGACCCGTGAAGCGCAGGCAGTGCTCGACGCCGCAAAAGCAACCGGAGTGCAGTACATCGTGCATTCCACCACCCTCCCTCTCAACGACCCAGATATCCGCACAAAGCTCGATGGCTCCGTCGCCGCTCCGGCCGTCTTCGGGAAGGGCGATGTCGAAGAGCTGGTTCGCGCCTGTGGCATTCCCTGGACTATCATTCGGCCAGGGTACTTCATGACAAACCTCGTTTCGCCCTTAGTTGATTTGATATTCCCGGAGTTCCGCGAAGGGAAGTTCGTCAGCTGCTGGGAACCCGATACCATTCTGGCGCTTGTGGACCCCGACGACATCGGTGCATTTGCCGTCGCAGCTTTCAACGATCCCGACAAGTTCGCTGGCAGGATTCTTACTTGCGTTAGCGAGCTCGTGACGGTCAAAGACGTCGTTTCTCAAATTTCGACTGCGACGGGCAAGGATATCGACGTTCGTTACCTCACTAAAGAAGAGGCGGCAAAGGAGGCAGCACGGAATCCAATGATGGAGGGCCAGAAGTTGTCGAAGGGGTTACATGAGCTGGTGGATATGGAGGAAGTCAAGGGCTACGGGATCCCGCTTACGAGTTTCAAGGATTTCTTGGAGAAGAACAAGGACGCTCTGGTTCCGAATACTGATGGAAAGAAGGTTGAAATCCGTCTTCCGTCCTTTAATGAGTAGGAATAGAGCCGCCACAATACACGATTGTAGTTATCACTGCGACCCTTGGACTATCCGAGAAACAACGAAACGTATCAGGAGCAAAAGGATCGCAGTCCTTCTACTCTTATAAAAATAACATCCTTATATCCGCCAACAAAACGGCATTATCAGGCAATCTGGTTTCCAAATTCAGTAGCACTGGGTTGGCAGCTAGAAGGCGGTAGTGTCGAGAAGGTCGTGAGCAATTTAGCGGGAACTGCAGTAAACGTTGACCATGTGACCAGCATTGGCGCTGAGGAACGCCGATTAGATCTGGCGTTAATGGCATCACGATATGTGTACGAAATCCATCTACAGATACCGGCAGATTCGGTTCCTATACGAGAGCCGTTGATAGGTATGTACAACTCTCACAGGTTTCCACGTCGCCATCGTCTTCTAACCTGAGAATTCGTGACCATACTGAAGACGAGTCCGGCTAGTTTAGTCTCTGCTCTTCATCCTGTTCTTGATCATCGCCGGCAGTTGCACTGGAAGTAGATTCCACAAGCCTAAGGACCTTAAGAAACCTTAGGAGCGTATAAGCGGGCTAGGCAAAGAGCAGCTTGGATGCCTTCGTATTCTTCTTGGACGCGTCATTTTGATGGTCAGTCACTATAGTGCACTGTAGGTGATCCACGCTCGTCGGATTGGGGACAAGCCTCGGTGTGTGCGGCTCTCCTGCTTGCTGTGCTTCGATACTTCGCCGTTACCGTAAGGGAAGGATTTGGAGATAGGCATGAGATGTTTCGACCTCAAACGTGCCGTGGCAGCAGAGGTATTGGTCATGCTTAGCATTCGAGGAAGCGTGATGGCGTTCTTTCATGCCGCAGCTGGACACCATCGCCAATACCTGCATGCCTTCAATCCCCGCTATCTCGTAGGAGCGTTCTTTCGTATCGCAGTGTGCATAGAGTTCCTAGCCTCGTGAAGAAAGGTGGAAGGCGAGGAGACGGTTGCCGCCAAGATCCCAGGAGTAAAATTGATCAGGATAATGAACGCAATCCTGGACTATGGGTTACTGGTTCACCGACTCCATAGAGATCCAGAGCCAAAGCGGTGAGCCAGATCAGCCAGCCTTGGCGTCGGCATGAACTCCCACATGCTGGCGTGTTTCTCTCCAGGAAAACCTCGCGCGTCTCTCCACACCACGTCTTCGTCTCTCCACGCCACAGCTACCTATTGTCGCCTTCTGCAAGCAGACCGTGATAGAGAGTTAAGCAAAAGACGGGATGTTGGGACGGACGGAACGCGGCTGATGACAAGCTAGACCCTGATAGGCTTAGCCCACGGTCAACTTCCTCGGCTCGTTTCGCAACCTCCGGACCCTCACCTTCGTCCCAACCCAATGCCCTTCAGCAAGCTCTCGGATAATAGAGCTTAATACAAACCGTCTTTGTTGTCCCAAATTGTATTATGAGTGCCCTCTCTCCAATCTACCAGGCAGCGGCGCGTCCACGTTTTCGAGGACGTCCCGAAACCCCGAAACCTCCACGCCAGGGCACTCCGTAGCCACACTGCTCACGCCGTTGTGAATGCCTAGTTATCCTCATACTACGACTCTCCACTATGCAATCCTCGCACTGCGGGTACGCTCGAGTCCCCGCTCCCGTCCGAGATATCGATCCCCGAGCGAAACCCGACGACCCGGTCGGACTGTCCCCACAGCGCACAGTATCAAGGAAGCATGGCTTTCGCACGCGAAACTGGCGAAACAGCAACGCGACCAAAGCTTTGTAAGGATGCGAAATGTCGATTTCGCCAATCAGAGAGGTCCCCGGCCAATAAAAGCACGCGCAGAGGCTGCTCTGCATCGGCATCCACCGCCAAGGGCGTCTCCGCACGATGCGGACTTTGTGCAAAGTGGTACGGCAACATCTACGGCTTCGCTGATAAAGTCTTTCGACATTTCGAGCAGCCAAGACCTCTATGTATACCTAGGTAGTCGCGGAGATAGCCGGGGCTTATTCGGGGATCCTCACGAATTAGGCTGACCATAGCATCAACCGAGCTCCAGCCCTGCACGTGCGGTATATGCCCCTACGGCGATCTACGGCGTAGCGATTTTGCCTCATCCGGTAAAGCGATAGAGCCTTGCTATGCGCCGCTTGGCTATTCCCTGGTTTGATGAGTCTCTCCGAGATTTCATCGCAGCGAAATCTTGAGAGCCAACCCTTTCTATATTCGCTACGAGGAGCGTAGGCTGCGCGATGAGACTCTCCAAGACTGTGCCACCCGTTCAGCGCATAGATATGAGAACGACACTCGATTTCTCTGCATGGCTAAATCGTGAACCACGTGGTCCTGTTAACCAGCCTTACACTCTGACATCCCCCACACTGCTGACGCGCACGGCATACATCAACAGGGGAGTGCACACCCCACAACACCGGATCGGGCTACACATGCCAAGCCTGTTTCGGATCTACGCCCTGCTCTACTGTGTACATCCACGAGACATTCCTTGTTGGTATCCTGGGATCAGATCCCGACTCCTCTGACTCTACAAATACAGAAGAGCTGGCAGCTCGACAACCCCATCAACAACTCACATCCTCACCACTGCAGAGCAGAACAGTCCTTCATTTCCCACCAGCAGCACATCAGCTAGATCTGACTCCATCCCTTCCTCAACTCGTCTACAATATTCCGTCCTGCATAACAACCAACTCCAACTCCAAAACCACCCCACCCCACCCACACACCGCAACAATGAGCACTGCCAACCAGACCATTCCCGTCGACCTCCTCCCCGTCCCCGAGGACCAGTTCCAGCGCGCGCAATTCAACCCACAGGCGCACCTCAAGCACAAGAAGTCCTTCGTCAACAAGGTCTTCTCCAAGCGCTCTGGCTCCAACTCCTCCAAGCGCAGGAAGGACGACGCCGCGGATGACACTAGCGAGCGCGACTCTATCCGCACCACCACCTCGAATAGCTCCGGAAGCATCCGCTCCATCATGTTCCGCAAGCACCGCTCCAATACCAGCACCTCCACCTCATCGACCGCATCGACCTTCTCCGAGAGCGGCTCCATCTACAGCAACATGTCCCTCGGCAGCAACGCGAGCAGCTCGTCTGAGTGCGACAAGTACGGCATGCCGAAGTCGCAGTGGATCCCGCAATACTTCTGAGCGCCGGATCGATTGATGAATCAGTCAGGCTCGAAATTTGTACATAATACCCCTTTCCATTCCTTTTCCTTTCCTCTTCATTACTATTGTAGATACATTCCTTTCTCCTGCATTTTCTTTCTTTCTTCCTTGTACATACATACATTTCGCTCAGTGGAGCACTTACGGTTGATGATGGTTAGAGGGGAACTAGGTCCACTCCTTTCTCTCTCTTATATTTCCTCATGCATTAGATGCGGCGTACTTGCGCGGCCGTTTGGAATCGCTCTCTCGGGGAGCTGGGTAGTTGGATAACTGCATGAATCATAATCTATTGTTTACCTAAGCCGGCCGTGCCAGTCGATATGCCTACTTATTCTCGCTGCGACGCTGGCTCATGCAGGACCAAATATAGGAGAAGATCAGCAACGAGTCTGGAGTCTCTCCATATCATAAAGTTTTTTCTTGCATTCGCGATGGTCCTTGTTTATGAAGTAGCTGTCGGCGAGATCAAAAGTGTTTTGCCAATAGAGCCCTACTTCACCGCTCCTTCCCTCTTCGAAGCGAACTTAGCCCATGTGGCGAAAAATACAAACGCTGAAACTTCTCCTCCCCCTTTCTTCTTTCCTCCTTCCACTCCACTGCCACGTTGCGATCCGTGGAACGGCAATCGTAAGTGTCGACCCGTTCACTTCCGCGGCAATCGCGGACCATCTTTCAGTTCGCAATGGCGAAGAGCGGCGGCAGCCGCTATACGGAGCCGAGCCCTGCCCAGAAGCTCAAACGCGGAGCCTTCGTGTCTGGTAATCCCGCTATTCCTATTCGCATCCCTCTCTGCTGCACGCTGATATCCTAAAGGCACTGCAGCCGACTCGTCACCGCTGCATAATGGTTCCCGCACCCAGATACGCCGGCGCCGACGTCAACGTCAACGCCAGCGCCAACGCCAACCATACGGAGGTGAGTTTCTACTCGGTGCCACTTTCTGTAAATATGCTGAGGAGATGCAGCCACGCAAGCCTCGCAAGCCCTTTCTCGACCTCCCACCCCTGTTCACGGCAGCCGCAGCAAAGGTGCAAGTCAGTTTCATTTCCCGTCACGCAAAAGACATGATGCTAATGTCACGAAGGCAAAACGGAGCCGAATCGGCAAGAACCAATGAGCGAGGCACGGGCGCGTCTCATTTATGAAGAGGCCCCTCCAACAGCAATGGATCTGCAAGAGTACAAAGCCAAAGTCGCCGCGCATTTGGACCTCAATAGCAAGGTCCACCCAAGACTATATAACTCGATCGGGGCGAAAGATCTTGGGCTCTGCTTCGCGACGTTCTGCACGGAGCAGATGTGTGCCGCGGCTGAGCGATGTCCGTGGCGTCATGCTTGCCTCACTGAAAGCGAGGCGAATTGGATCATCGGGCTCGGTGAAGAGAAGTTCATCCGGCTTGCCGCTCGGCGGTGGATGACTCCAAATGTAGCCTGCCGAAGTAGCTTCCCAGGCATGTTGGCGGGTGAGGATACAGGGAGCCAGGAAGCGATGATTTGAAGAAATGAGGGGGTGGAAGAGAAATGGGATATGTGCAGAGCAAATCTGGGCACGGGATGTTCTTCAAGTTACTTATATTGTACCACATCTCCATGGAGCCTCAGAAGGTCATCACATGTTCTTCTTAAATGCAGCCCATTGCGTTGCCCAACCTTCTGCTAGCTTTATCCACATACCGGGTCCGACATCCCATATCCACGAATGTGTTTTTCGCGGACATTGAGTTGCCTAGAGACGCGCTCCACTTACAACGGAAACCCAGCTCCAAGGAAACTTTGAACGACGCTTCCATCATTCCGATCGCTCACCACGGGTGACCAGGCTCGAGAGACTGCCCCACCGGTCCATCTCCCAGTTTCCCTCGAATTATCCACATCCGCAGGAAAGCTTCGTGCGCCATATTCGGCGCGTCGGGAGTTTCCCAGTTCTTCATGAGGAGCCTCGCCCGCGGAAGCGACACCCTCCCACTCGAGATGAGAAACCGTAGGTCTTTCCACTCGATTTCGTGCTTCCATCGGCATCCACCGTCGGCGTGTGGGTACATCTCTTGCCTACCGAAGGTCGCCTTACACAGCCCGTAGCACTCCTCTGGGGCACAGCATAACGGGAAAGGCTACCCTGGCTGTCTGATCCATACTCTGTCCACTGTGGCACGTATTTGCCACACGGTGTCGGCTCGAAGTACCTGCTGCGCTGGGCTTTGGCGTAAGCCTTACGGTCGAGCTGGTCGAGCTCCTCGAGTTCGGGGTCCCGCTGACCTGGAGCTAGGGGTCTAGCAATGCGTGTGCGGGAGACGGGGATAGAAACGGGAGCTTCTTGAATCGAACGCCTTGGCTGAGCACGAGTCGAGTGGACCGTTGGCGGTGGCATGGCTTGCGCCTGTGAGTCTCGTGGTTCCCAAGATTGAGCCTCCGGTGACTGGGAAGTTTGATTTGAGAACAACGGTTGGGGAGTGTAAGGTCCCGCAAATGGCACGTGGTTTCCACTGAATTGCTGAGACTGAGGTATTGGTCGCCTTCGACGAGGCTGCTGCGAGACCATATCATGTTGAGACGCCTGTCCCATATATGCATTTGGATTAGAATTTGAGGAGGGAGGTCCATAGGATGCGGCCCGGGAGTCTGATCTGTGCTGCGCTGCTGCTAGGAAGATGTGTTCCACTCTAGCATTTGCCTCTTCCTCGATTTGCGCCGCCACGGCCTCACATACGCGGTCCGCAATGAGCTATGGGAGGTCTAGTGGAAGAGGTAAATATTGCGGGTTCTGAGCAGTTGGTTGCTGCGGCCGGTTCTGAGGCAGGAATTGGTGAGGCAAAGGGGGCGTCCGTTCCACTGATAGTTCCCATGAGCAACAACATACAAAAAAAGGCTTCCCGCACGCTTACCATAGGGATACGAGGAAGGGTCGGTCGGAGACGCCCAACGCCATTGTCCAGTAGGCTCGTGGTGCACCCACCAATTCATATTAACATCCCGCTCCCAGACCCATCCAGGCTGCAGTGGCGGTAGGGGGCTTGTATGAGGATAGAACGAAGCCGGGTTTGGTTGTCGGCTGTATGCTTGAGGCGGCGCCTGGGACGCTGCGCCGTACCAAGACATCTGCGTTTTGCTCAGGATGATGCCCTAGTGTCTGCAGCGAATACACACGTACCTTGGAAAGCCGGCGGAGGGTGCAAGGGAAGAAGCCGCCGCGGAGAGGGGTAAAGCGATCTTGAAGTCCGCGTCCGTGCGCCTAGCTTGACGCGCTGTCAGGTGACGAATATATTCACTCACCCTAAGCCTTGGCATTCGCACACAAAGGGTACAGCCATCCCGCGCAGAGACGGGTCGCCAGAGGAATCACGGATAAACGATCCGTTCGTAGGTTTTTCATTCCGCCAACGTAGTGTTTCGCTTGCACTCGGTAAGTGTCGATTAGCATTCGGTTTCAAGACCTGTCGTCAAGTTCGGCGGCTGACCCATCAGCTGAATCATAGGAATATGTTCTTCCCATACCTACGCGCCACATGCGATGAGCGGGATGGCCTCCGAGACCAGGCGGTATTATCGGGTAGTAGTAAAGGCTCCCGCTGTTATAGGATGCTAGAATAGTATTAGCTGTCCAGGGCTCGTGTCCATACCTAACCGCGGGGCTAACCAAATGCACAGACGCCGGCTACATAACTTTTGTAGCGAATCGTTTCTGCCCAGGTGCACACTGCAAGTCTGTCTGCTGTAAATTGCGTTATGGTGGCACTTAGTGGGTCGGCTAAACTTGCCCTGGACGGCCGCTGACATCATCAGATTGCCAACCTCAGACAAGACGAGTTGTGACGTCCATCTGCTCTTCCATCGCCACCCTTTCGTGCACCAGCCCCATCATCTAAGATGCTTGATTGTATTCTTTCTGCGGATCTGATCCCGGCGCTCGATACATCTCATTGCAATGTAATATCCTCTGCTTTCCCGCAGCAGTCGATCGCGTCAATCATCGGGCAAAAACGCAGTAATTTCATCGAACTCGAGTCAATACCGCGAGAAATCATCGTTTTGCCCCCAGCAACAGGCATCGACTCTTCTTGCTCGCGCCATTGGCGAAGATTCCACGGCTGGCTGTCGTGCGACATCGGCGTCGCTTTCTCGCCCCTACACGATTCCAACTGTTGCTCCCGATCCGGTCCCGAACGCATGAGGGGTACAGGAAGGTGACTCAGTCATCGTTTACAGTTCTCGTGGCGTCAAATTGTGGAGTCTGCGGGTACGGTGGAAGACGAAGACATGAGATGTCGTCGCAGCAGAGTTCGTGTCAGCTGCTTTAGCGCGTCGGGTGATGCAGGGGTTTCATTATGGCCCGCGTGATTGGTCAGCGCCCCCTACTCTGCCAGACAAGACGGCGACAGATCCAAGTCACGGCTCTTGCAGTTGAGAGTGATCAGAGGGGAAAGGAGGAAGACTCAGGAATCGCTACGCGCCCGGAACGTGGAACAGATGCGCCAGCACTTTGGAGATCATTGCCCGCTGAACCACTCCAGGCTGTCCGATGCAGATACCACCCATAATCCCTACAGCGATTTCTTAGTTGACCTTGATACTAGGTAGGGTAGGTATGGTCTGAGTCATTTCCGCGTCTTTCACTTCCTCGCGACATTGGTTGCCGGGTCAACTTCACTTCACTGCAACCCTTATCTCTCCAGTTCCCACTTTAAACTGTCCCCGCTCTCTCTTTCACTCCTAGCCTCGCCTCCAAACGCACCTCGTCCTTAAAATTTCTCTAATCTGCTCTCATCTCCTTCTACTCTCTTCATCTCCTCTCCTCAGCTCTGCAACGTTTAACCTTCCAAAGCACTTCTATCAACCACCGTCAAGATGCCTATGAACTGGAACACCGAGAACGATCGCATCCTGCTCTTGAAGCTGATCGAGACTCATGGCATCTCTGTCGACTCGGCCAAGATTGCCGCAGCCTGGCGTCAGTCCCTTCAGCCATGCGCCCTTACCATGATGTTAATGCTAACCGCTACCTAGCCAAGGATGCTCCCGTTAAGCCAACCTCACGTGCAATCACCGAGCGCTTTGTAAAGCTCCGGAAGATGGCTGGTATCAACGCCACTATCACGACCTCGACCCCCTCCAAAGCTCGCGCGCGTCCGTCGAAGTACGTCAACACCCCAAGTTCCTCCACGAAGAAGCGCAAGGCCAAGGGCGATTCCGAGTCCGATGCTGAAGATGACATCACTGATGGAGAGGATACGCCGACGAAGAAGAAGCCCGCTCAGCGTGGTGGAAGCAAGTCAGGCGGTCGGGGCGGAGTGGGATCGTCTGTGCGCGTCAAGACCGGTAAGTAAAATACACTGAAGCAATCCTGGAGGGTTAAGCTATGTCAAGGCCATCTTTTAGGTCTCTGGCCAGATATCCTACCCATTGGGCGTCGAGCGAGGACTTCTATGGTCATCTACTAACCAGCAACAGAGTTCCCCGACAACTCATTCACCAACGCAGAAGACTTAGACTTCGAGGCGCTTTCCGCTCATGCCACCAGGCTCCGCGAGGCTGTCAATAACGGCGGCACACCCGACCGTGACTACTTGTTCTCGGACCATGGCATTCCCAACTACGGTTCTAGTCCAGTCTCTGCCTTCGCCAGCGCTTCCAACGGCTTGAATGGCTTCACCGACCAATCCTTCCTTGGCTTCGGGAGCGGAAATAACGGCCTAGGTGCGGGCTTGAGCGGCTTCGGTGTGACGAGCAACGGCATGGGCTTCTCCCTCAACAGCAAGACCGGCAGCATGCCAGTTCAAGCTGGAGATCCCCTCTCGACGCCCACTCGCCGCCTCAACTTCAACGCCACCCCGAATTCCACTCATCCTGCCAACGGCGCCGCCAACCGCTCGCCCACTCGAGCCACCCGCCCGTCCGCCGCCCCAAGCAATGATTCGGCCGTTCGTACCGAGCAACGCGCCCGCTCTGCTCGCAAGGCATCCCAGCAGGCGTCCGAAGGCATGGCGGCCTGGATCCAGCAGCAGAAGGCTGAGGATCGCGAGGACGGCCAGAAGTCGAGCGAGGAGGACAGTGCGGCATCTGAGTTCCGCGAAAGTGATGGAGAGTATGTTTGATAGAGCATGGCGGTGGATAGAGGGCTAAAGGCCTGGAAGGTAGGGGATGCGGTGGCGAAATTGGAAAAGCGATGCTTGTAGATTTGGCGCTTTTATGGGGCTGGAGACACTTAGGCTTGCTTTTCCTTTCCTTTTTGGGGTTATGCTGCAGGGGTCGATGACCTTCATGCAGCTCGATGACTTGGTCAACTTGGTCACTATCTTGTAAGCAATTGCTTCGTCATGAACAGAATAAAAATATTCATAGCTTACAACACTTCGTGCACTCATCACCTAATTGTTTGCTGAAGCTCTTCACGAGCACCTTTACAATCTGGGGCAGTTGATCTGCCTTATGCAGAGCTGTGAGACCTGACCCCCTGACATCTATCAGCTATCCCCGTGAATGTCTACGGTCTCTAAGATGCTGAAGACCTTGATGCAACTTGATGACAACCCAAGCACGCATAAGTTCCAAGGTCCAAAGCCCTCCAGGTCTCGCTATCCCTATCGAGCCAACCAGGACATATCGCCCCTCCATCCATACGCGTGAGCCAACCTCTATCTATATCGCCTAGCCTATGTCAATGGCAACTGATTTGATGGGTAAGGCTCATGGAACTTAATAGGTCGCCTAGAGCCTTGGGTTGTTGTTGTAAACTGCCACGCCGACCCGTGGAGCTTCTCCACCGAGAAGCCTATGCTAGCCATAGCATACGAGAAGTCGGTCCAGGCGATCTCGCTGGGATATCTGCTGAAGACGGTGAATGGAAGAGCGCCTTGAAAGCGAGCATATCGAGCTTTCCAACACTGAATACGAGGTCTTGGGTATACTCTTCGCCCTCCTAGAGATGGCAATTTTGTCGAAAGAGCCAGTGATTTCGCTCGCCGGGTCATAATCGATAAGGGAAAAGGGCATCTTGATCGATTGATTGATTTTTCTCGTTTTAAGTCACAGATCTATAGAGGGTATGCTAACTAATAGCAAAACAGAGCTTCTGCCTACGTGCAAAAGCACTTTAAAAGACGCTAAGATAAAAAGAAAATAATGGGGTATTATAGAACTATAAGAAGGCAGTATATTCTAACAGAAAAGAATAGTTTAGGCGCCGATAACGAGGGCGTAGTCTCAACGCTGGCCTCTTTCGCTAAGGCTACGCCTAAACGTCCTGAAGTCCTTCCATTGCTCTTTTAGCAAGCTCTTGGGGTGTCCTACAGAGGAGTCTCAGACAGAGAACTTGCCGGAGGACTATGTCCTTTGATTAGTCTTGAGCTCTGCCACAGCGATGAATCTTGTCCCAGAGATGAGGTTGATTGCTAGTACTAGGCGCCGAATGGGGCTTAGTACCCGACGCGCCCTTCCGTCCACATAGGCAAACACCGTCGACTGCAGCTATTTCGACAGCATCTACAATACTACTTTCAATCTGCACGACCTCGCGACATGTCCACTACAAGTCCGGGGCGCAGCCCCGTCACCACCTCAGATAAACTCCAAAACCTGCTCCGAATGTCCGCGAAACAATCCGCGGCATCTCTGAGCTCTCTCGGCAAGGACAGACTGAGGACGCTCTTGCTTGAGTGCTATCTTGGGGCTAGCAAAGAGGAACTCGAGCGCTTAGTGCGCCTGCGCCTGATCGAGTTGAGGGACGAGCTCGATTCACAGGCACCGATCGGTACGCAGGGTTGCGGGGTCCCAAAGGGCTATGCTAAAAGTGGCACAGGTTTGATTTCACGAGCAGTCCCAACGGCAAGCTCGATTCCTGCGAAGAGATCTCTACCCGCTGCCCTCGAAGGCGCAACTGAGCCGGCCTCACTACGACCGAAGCGACTGAGGATGCAGAAGATCTATGGCTCGATCTATCAAGCGCTAGCCGTGAGCTCTGTGGAACGAACAGAGCCCGCCCGCGTAGCCAGCTACAACGATCTTCAAGCTCCCACTCATGGTCTAGATAGCTCACGCAAAGCAGAGCGTACCAAGGATGTGGCTGATGTCCGAAGCCATATCATTGACCTGGGAACTCCGCCGCCCTCTTCCGACGATGAAAACGATGGGCGCTTAACTACAGCCTGTCGATCGCGCGTTCTCATTCCTACCTCTCGAAAATCTGGGGCAGAACAGAAAAGAAACTTAAGGGGACCTCCACCAGAATAGTACCACATCGCGGAGAGTATCGACTGGTGCATATTCGTACCCTCTCAAGATCCAGACGGTGGTGAATACAAGCCATTTGCCCAACTTCCGGAGGCAACCAGGACGAAGATGGAAGAGAAGTTCGAGATCTAGTTTCAAGTGAAGAACCGGAATCAGCAAGGCTCAAGAACGCACCGCCGTTTTGTGACTCTAGTTGCGGAAGAAAACCGAGCCCGGCATGCTCAGAGAGGCTTTTGTGTCGATGTCTACAACGCGAAGAAGGGTCCATCCTGGATGAGCTTTTCGACAGTTATGGGCAATCCGAAGAGAGCCTGCGACAACTGCATTTCCAGGCGCCGGATATGCGCGCGGGTCATGAAAGTTGACGAGGAGTACGAGCTGTGCTTCTTCCCTCTGCCCGGGCCGCTCAGGTTGGGAATCGATTGGGCGGAATATCGCTTTTGGGCCACCTAGAAGAGCTCGGGTGTCTGTGAGAAGCTCATGTTAGATCTTACCGGTTTTAGGTAGAGGACTTGATGGATCGCTGAAGCTTTACATACCTACAAAACGTTTATGTACGTGCGTTTTGGTACTTGGTCTTTGCAAAGTTACCCTGTTCAAGTTTTCGAGGTCGCACTCACGGTTTAGCTACGTCCACGAAACTATGAGCGGAACTTGTGCACTTTCCACTAGTTATGCTTGAGTGAATTGCGACATTCCCGATATCTTGATATCTGTACCATTCTCTGGGTGAAACATTCGGTGACGCCAGATATTCGTGCCTCACCAACCAAGACACACTAGGCAGACATAAGTTTGCTCTTTAACCCGCTCTCTCGCCCTTGCATTCTCTACTCATCGATATGTTTGCCCCACCACGGAAGCACAACCCGAAACCGCCGCCTCCCAGACCAAACAAATACTCACCAGACAACGCACCTATTCGGTCTCCACAAGTAGTCATGCCCGCCATGGACGAGCTCGACGCGCTCTACGGCCCTCTCGAAACCGCGCTCGAACATTCCAACCGCGACATCGACATGGAACGCTCCCGCGCCACCGAGCTCGCTTCCAAACCCCACTACACTCCACCGTCCATAAAATGCCAGTACTGCAGTAACAGTTTCCCACGCATTGAGTGGTTCTTCAATGTCCACTCTCCGCGCTGCCACACAGAAGCGCTCTCACGAACTACTGGAAACATTGATGTGTACGGTGACCAGCGAGTCTGCCCGTACTGTAAGAGGACGGTGCATTATGAGAGCTTCTGGGCGCATTTACAGGGCAGCGCGAAGTGTGGAGAGTATTGGAGTGGCTTGAGTGTGGTTGAGAAGAAGCTGGCGAATCCGGATTATCTTACGCCCGCGCAGCGCGGAGTATCCTTCTCATCTACGAGCCCTCAGAAGCATACTGTGGGCACAGAACTGAGCCCTTCCACGGAGGCGCCTCTTCCAGAGATGGAAATGACACGTCCGATGGTGTTGCAGAAGATCATTCCCCTTCGCGAATCCACTCCGATTGTTTCATCCCCCTCGTCACCAGCCTTGGATCCACGGCCGCCTGTGAAGAAAGAGGATGATGAATCTCTTCCCGCGACAAAGCTTCCGATGACACGAATGTCAAAATGCAACAGGTGTTACCAGAAGTTCGAGATTCCCTACGCGAGGCGCGAAGACGGAACGACGTACTCGGACTGGACCGAACACAACCGAACGTGTGTACCGCGGGAACAATCTGGCTTCTCTATAAAGGCATCCTCACACTGTACGAATTGCGGCATAGAAATCAGCGACCCTGGGTGGTTTTTCATGAAGCACCAGCGGGATTGCCGGACCAAGGCCATTGCGAATGGGACGCTAAAGGCTTTTGATCCGCATACTGGAGTTCGAATTCAGCGCCACGATACAGGTAAGCTGGATGAGGCCTCAGTACGACCGGCTTCGGAGAACGCGAAAATCAGCATGGGAGCTCCACCGATCCTCCCTTCCTCGCATGTGAGTACTACGGCGGCGCAGCCCATTGCGCATCCCCAGGCTCCCTTGCACATATCCCCTCATTCACGCGTAGGGTTTGAGGCACAACCTATGCCTTGGCTTCAAGAATGGCGGGCCAAATTCAACATCCCATCCGGGAAGCCCTTCCCGGCTACTGCCACTGCAGCTCCGATCATCCCGAACCATCAACTCTGGGCTCCGGACCTTGTGACCCCCAATGTTGGCAACGGAAGCCGTGCTTCGGCCAATTCCTCCAGTATACTCCACCACGATCAAGATGGAGGGCCCAAACAATCCGTAGCACCAGCACCTAGCTTCCACAATACTAGAACAAAAGCAGGAGAAGCAGGAGAACAAAACAGCAACGTAGGCAACGCCGAACAACCCCAAGTCCATGCCGGCGTACAAGGTCATCCCAAAAAGCGAGGGAGGAGGGGCAGGGGAAAGAAGAAACCGGGAAGGGGCATGACGGCTCGCATTGCCGCTGCCAATGCCCTTGAGGGACAGGGACTGTCCACCGCAGAAGCGCATGCGGCGGCCTGGGATGGAAATGCACGTCCTTCCTCTTCGGTAGATCTTGCTGCTCTGCGAGAAGCCGCTTCGACGTCATTGAAGCATGCTCATGGGCGACCACCTGGCATGAATTGATTAGGACTGAGAGGCGCAATGGAATGGCAATGCTGTCCGTTCTAACGAGCGCTTGTGGGGGAGATTTGCGGGAGCAATAACGACTTCGTAGTATTTCTCTGCCCTGCTTTGGACCCCGCATTGAGGGGACGGTTAGGAATATGATACGTCACAGTTTGATACCAAATCTCAATTGAATCTATACTCTTTGATTGTCCTAGGCGTGTAAGCAACCTTGGATGTGAAATGGGGGGACGAAGGCGGTATAGAGATGTATATTGCGGTATATGCGCCTTGCGCATCCTGTAGTTAAGAGAGAATAAGCTGTATACAGAGGGCGTTGCTAAGGTTTAGCCTTGTTTTCTCTAACATTGTACTACCCTCTGAAGTACTTCTCGCGGGGCTTTTCCAAGGCCAACGCAGACTCAGCGCGCGGATCTGTTCCGGTGAAAGAGAGCCATCTAGCAAACATCCCACCACCGCCTCTCTGCATATGTGTTTACTTTCCGACCACAAACCATAACTCCTCTCACCCACCCTCACCCCCACTCAAACACATTGACCCACAATGCCGCCAAAAAGCCTGCTCAAGCAAGTCCTCCGGAATGTCCTCCACCAAAAGTCCGCAGAAAGCATGCGCCAAGTGGACGTCAACAAACCGCTTCCCAATCCGCGGCCTACAAGCGCCAATAGTCAACCGCTGAGCGCGCGGTCGAGCCAAGCGACGCTCCGCGATAGCGAAGTCGCATCGCTAGAGACCATCGATGAAAGCGGCGAGAGGGAAGTGTCGGTCGAGCAGGTATTGGGAGAGATGGCGAGCGTGAGTCGCATGCCTTTGCCCGTCGTATGCGGAGTGACGCTAACGATGCTGCAGATGGATGGCAAATGCACCGACAATCTTGACGGCTTCGAGATCCTCCTCCAGCAAGCTGAGCTGATGATGCTATCGCACCTCGACACGATCGAAACGACACTCACGCTGCTTGAAGCAATGGAAAAACTGAGTCCGCACGTTGAGCCCATGAGGAAGGACGTCCTGGTAAAGAAGAAGTGGTGCGAGAGGAAGTTGGAGAAGCTGCGATCTATTCGGAAGATTGGCGGCGGGGAGAGCGAGGCGGAGGCGGGGAATGATTGGGGAAGGGAGACGTGAGGATGCTGTTTTTCGTTTCACGGCGGCGGGTGGCAGCATGTGTGTGACCTTGCAGCGAGAGGAGGATGTGAATGACGTCGCACGTGAAGAACCGTATTTTATCCTTCAATGCAATCTCCTCCCACGGTGTTACACCACTTGCGAGACACATAAAACTAGGACCTTGCTCGCTACTCTTCCCCTCTCTCTCACCAATACCTGTATATATATATCGAAGCCAGAATCCACATCGATCCCCTACACAACATCTCTACTAGCATCACATAAGCGATACGAAATTACCATGGGCGGCAATACTAGCAAACCATGCTATAGCTTCTCCTGCTGGGACAAGCGCAGCATCGACATCCCGCACGATGAGGTCCTCGATGACTTGTACGGAAGCTGGGCTTCCTACGCCTTCTTCGTTCTGCTCCTCATCTTGATCGGTGCGGTTGGATATCTTGCTTGGGCTGTGAGGCAGGACGCGAATGAGCGGCGGATCTTACGACGGTGTGAGGAAGGCGCAATATTGCCGGAGAAAGAAATGGAGCGCTGACGCCTCGACAGGGAGGCAGGGGTTTGAGGCGGTAGGGTCGAGCCAGATTTTTCAGCGTGGGCGTGCGTTGGAATTGGCGTTGACTGTAGTGACTTCACGTCGGTGGGTTCTGGGATAAACGATGCGTTAAAGTTCGTGGGACAGTGGGAGGATGGCGATCCAAGTGCCCGACCGGGTTGTCCTGAGGTTCCTTCATCAATATCAGCTGCAGATTCATCATTTGCTATGCATCCGCCTCTTTATGCGGCGCTCCCATATACATGGCTACAGTAACAGCGGTGCGGCAGTGAATAAAAACTGATGTGAAGTTCTGCGATTAATCTTCCACCCTGTATAAGTTGCCAATGACCTTCCCTAAGACAGCTCTTACTCACCATTGGGAACACAACCGACTCCCATAACAGAATATGGCACAAAAGAACAAGATCGAGAAAATCGAAGACCTGTTCGCTCAGCTAAAGATAGTAAGCCCATGACAGGGGCATCCTCAAGCAGGAAAAAGCTCACGGCTTGTAGGAGGCGGGAGATGAAGGAAAGTCCTCAAACACCAATGATCACAATATCACCTCAGTGACACGCGCCCCTGCATCGGACTCAGACAAGATGAATGCCGACGAGAACGAGGACGGAATGCCCCGGCTCATGGAGAGGAGTAGCGTGCCCCGGTGGGAGTGGCTTGACGGGCTGATAGCCAAACTTAAGGTAGGTTATCAGTAGAATACGGTGCATCGAATCGAGGTGACATCCATCATAGGGAAGCGAAGAGAGTGGAGCAGATGTGGCCGATATCCAAGAGTTGCGCAAGAGCGCGGCCCATGCGGCCCCGACGACCGCTTCTCTCCTAACCGGCATCGCAGACATCCTCGAGTTTGAAATGCTACACTTCGCTCCAGATTAGAAAGCCAGTATTACGAGAAGCCGGGGAAAAGGTAGTGCCCACTGAAGCGCATTCGTGGATGCGATTGAGTGTCACTTCGCGGTAGCACATCGAGGTCCAGCAAGCGATAGCAATGTCCAAGCAAATTGAGCGGGTACGAATGGATACAAGTGAATACCAGAGGGCCCTCCTATATATCCTCCCGTCTTCGGCTAAAACAAAACATGCCCGTCCATATTTAAAGTGCGGGAGTTCTTTGAAATCTTGAAAGCTGAGTGTGCTGAGCGCATGTGATACAGTTCGATTCGACGATGTGAAGATTCCGATTCTACTGGATTCCTCGATTGGTAGAACAACGGATTTTGCCCCTAGTACACTGTGAATTCGATATAGTCATATTAGTACAAAGCCATGCGCTCATTGCGACACCTGCGCGTCGCAGTGAACGGGCCGCTGACTAACCGCACGAGGCATACCAGCTATTTAACTGGCCATTCGAGCGCCCGGTCTCCTCCACATAGTTTGCTTTGTATTCAACTCCGCCCGCTAAATGGCGTGCGTTGACAAGATCAAGGGGATTGAGGAGCTATTGGCACAGCTGAAGATGGTGAGGATATAGTTGGGAGTAGGTGTCGCCACAGCAAACGACGGTTGGTGCAGAACAATCCATAGCTCGTGGAACCCCGCGCCGAAACCCTAGAGCCAGGCGACACCGCCATTCCGGAGCGGACAAGCCTAAAGCATGTACTGTACGGCTGATATGGCTAACGATACAGCATCGAACGGAGAGAGCTCCTGGTACCTTGATGTCCCGCCCGCAGTCTGGGAGAAGACAGGGGCAAGGAAAGCGCAAGACCTCAATACCGTTAGCGGCGCGGTAGGATTGCTTGGAATGATGGAGAAGATCTCGGATGTGTCCGTGGTGTCTCGTCTCTTGGTGAAGTTGCTTTCTGCGGATGGGAGAATGCTTTAATAATAAAACCGAGGAACCAGAGCCTTGAGCGGGTACAAAGAGGCCATCGGCGGTTCCCCAGGCAGGAGGGGATCCTGTTCCAGCGAGGTGCATATGCGCCTCAGTAAATCTTTGGAGAGGTTCAACGGGGATACTGACATGCAGATGTAGATTAGGGTACAAGATCTACGCTCTTCTTCCTAAGGAACATACCAGATGCTGTTAGATGCACGAGTGAGGCGTGTGTGAGATGTGGTAGGAAGGCTGTAAGAGCCGACGTTGAGATTGACGCGTCGGCTGACCATGCACCATGCTCGTCGCAGCGTAGCGTGTCTTGGCAAACGAACCTCGTCTGATCCTGATCCTTCAGGGCGGACCCCTAACTCCTCCGTCGATCCTGTCATAATCCCTCAGGCGCCGATTATGTCGCCTACAGGTCTCAGACACCGCTCTCTACCGCTTGAGCACCTAAAAAGACGCCCAAAATGCGAGAATCCGAGTCCCTGACCCTCTCCGACGGCCGCGTCCTCTCATACGCCGTATATGGCTCGCCGATGCCGCAGACCACTGTGTTCTACTTCCATGCGTTCCCCTCCTCAAGGTTAGAAGGGAAGCTGTGGCACTCCGCAGCGGCAAGGCTTAATGTTCGCCTCATAGCCCCAGATCGTCCCGGAATGGGCAACTCCACCTTTCAGCCCAACCGCACGCTCCTCGATTGGCCGAACGATGTCCTCGCACTCGCCGACCACCTCAAGATACACAAGTTTTATGTGACAGGACTCAGTGGAGGCGGACCGTATACACTGGCTTGTGTCAAGCACATCCCAAAGGAGCGGTTAGCGGGTGCAGCCGTGGTATCTGGACTATACCCCGTTTCGTTCGGCACGGCAGGGATGCTGTTCTTTGCCAGGATGCTACTGTGGGTTGGGCCGTGGATGCCTGGACTTGTGGGTACTATGTTGGATATGGCAATGGGGAAAGCAGCGCGAAATGAGGATCCGAAGGTCTTTGAAGACCTACTCATGAAAGAGATCGAGAGCAGGCCTGAGGTTGACCGGAATGCTATGAAAGACGAGAAGAACAGAGAGGCTTTCATTGAAGGGACAAGAGAAGGGCTTAGACAAGGCGGACAGGGGTCGGCGTGGGAAGCCAGGCTGAATGGGAGTCCTTGGGGTTTCGAGCTGAGTGACCTGGATATTGGGGAAGAAGGGGTTCCATTAGCGTTGTGGCATGGGTCGGACGACATCAACTGCCCGGTTGCCATGGTTCTGAAAGCCCAAGAGCTTATGCCCAACGTCAATCTGCATTTGAAGGACGGCGAAGGGCATGTTAGCTACGCATTCCGCCATCAGGAAGAGATATTGCAAGAGCTGATTGGGATTAGAGACTTCTGAAGGCAACGGCAAGTCCTCTTTCTGTGTTTTTCATTCGTTCTGGTAGCGTTCCCTGGATATTCGCTCAATCGTTTGATTCACCCAAGACTGTGGGGCCCCGCCGTGCAGCGGATTTCGTAGTCGTGGCTCCCCGGAAGTCTTAAGCCCCCTGGTGAATGTCTGCAGCGTGACTGCCTGCTTAGCGCGAAGAGCACCCACTGACCCCCACTATTCCCCGTTGCCCCCGCTCTTGCTGTAGTTCCTCAACCTCATCTACCAGTTTACAACTCTACCGAGAATCGAAACTCTGCTGAACCCGCATTCGCACTAGGATGAAGCCTGCAATTGAGCTCGAGCTGTTCCTCAATCCCTCGAGTGCTCCAGCGGTCGATGTGTCTGGTATATTGTCCCATCCTCCCAAACTCTTGAATTATGCCGTCGCTAATGATTCCGAAGCGGATTCGCTGCCTCCAACCGCTAATTGCATCTCTATTCCGAACTCAGGAGCCGCGCTGAACCTCAATATGGAGCCTGGAGAGTCCATCCGCGGTACCGAACCCCCAATCTGCTATCAGGTCGCCTTCTCCAACCTAACGCTGATCGACTCCCATGATGCTTACGGCGTCCAATATGCGCTAGGTTCGGAAGTCATCCAACATGGTGAGTTCCACGGCCACCGCCCGCCGCCATTGGGGCATGCATTTCGACCGTATATTGGCCATATTCCGCGCCTCGTCAGCCAAGCTGCCGCCACCATCCAGGACGTATACGAGGTATCCGACATGTACACGAAAGCTTTGATGTTCGCATCTACAGCCGGTACAAACGCATGTGCGACTAGCACCTTCGTCAAGAAGCAATGCCACAAGGCCTGGGACTGGGCAAAGAAGCGCGTTTTCGAGCCCACTAAGTGCTGGATTCACACGAACGTTCTACCCTACCTACAGAAGTGCATCGGCCGAGCCTGGACATCTGCTAAGACTTCGATCAAGAGTGAATATACCTACTCCAAGAGCAAGGACTTTTGGAAGGTCGTCGGCGATGTCGTGGCAAAGATTGGGTGGGTCGCTTGGAATAGCATGTGCTATACCGTTGAGAAACCCCCATGGGTCGCGGAACAATTCAAAGTCCCGATGCAAGAACTCGCGCACGCGGTCTGACATAACCCAAGAATGGAGCCAACAACAGCACCGTAATCAAGCCTGTGAGCTATCATGCCACTTGACCTTTGGTGAAGGATAGGCAGCCCGAAGCCCCTCGCGCCCGATCCTTCCGATTCCAACCTTTCATATGGTAGTTCCCGCTATCAACCACGGTTGCGTTCCTCCAACGAGTAAGATGTAACGGTATGACAGCCCAACATCAGAAACCGTACCGAGATATTCTTGCAAAATCCGAAATATTCGACGCAGCCAGCAGTCCAAAGGAATAAATAGCGGCCACCCTGCTCTCTTGAGAGAGCACATCCACTTCCAACTTTCCACCACACAAAGGCACTTCCCGAAACGCAATACAACACCACCAACCAACCGATCAACCACCTTCCGCCAGAAAACAAGACCCTGAAGCATCTCAGCGTCAATACCAACCCCACCAACCACCATGATCTTCACCACAATCCTCACCCTCGCCGCCGCCGCCAACGCCATGGCCGTCCCTCGACCGTTCATCGCGCCCGACATCAACGTCCACCACGCCAACGAGACCCTCGTGCATGTGCAGCCGCGCTCCGAGCACCTTCAGCGCCGCTGCGTCGTAGGTTACAACTGTCAGGATGCCTGCAGTGGCTGCTTTTTCAAGGTTTTGTTCGCCTGCACCTTTCAATGCGGCGGGCATGCGGACACACCGGCGTGTACCGAGCCGGGGCTGGAGAGACCGAGTGGGAGCGAGCCGCAATAGGAGTGATGAGGAGAGGGCAGGGAATGGGAAGGGGAAGGGGAGTTTTCATGAGTGGGAAAGGAGGAGAGGAATAGGCGATGTTGACATCAAGCTTGGTTTGATGGAATGGATGGTTCGAAGACGGCATAGAACTATCGAGACGACGCGATCTTCAACAGTAATCAATTTCTTGTCAGTAACACAGATACCGACCAGCGGCTTTAAATGTGAAAGTCATCCAGCGGTTTATAGGTTCTCGACCTATCCTGCCGTCCCTGCCCGTTGACTACGCCTGCCCTTCTTCCTTGGTTGATGGTCTCTCATCCTCTTTCTTAGGCCTATATCCTCTTTCTTAAGCCTATCATCAACGGTAAAGTAAATATCCTCTGCCAGGTGGTCGAATGGCGATTCCCCTATCTCCTCCCACGTGAGCCTTATCAATTCCCCCGGCACGCTTGCTCGATCCTTTCCTTTCATCACTTTCTTCGAAGGCTCATGCGATGAGCGAGATGCTGCGCGTGGTGGGGTAAGGCTCGCCCCAGCCCTCGTGCGGGATCGCGTTCGGTATGCTGAGCCGGAGCGAGCGGTTTTTTCTTTTCTCGGCGTGATCGGCACGGGTTGTGAGAGTTCGTCTTTCGCTCGATGTTAGCGCCGCCGTCGCGCCCTATCTTGGAACTAAATGTCATGCAAGTGGTCCCATACCTTCAGACAAGTCTTCGAGGTCTTTGTTTGGTTTGCGATAGACCCTGACTCTTCTGCTTCCTAGTCTAGAATCGTCGGCATTCCGCTTCCGCTTTAGCCCTTTTTTGCGGGTGGACTGGGGTGGCATGCTGTTGGCTAGCGTCGGAGCCTTAAATACTGAATAAAGGTCGAACTCGACTAAAAGAATTTGCTGCACGAAAGCAGAATCCACCAGGGAGGAAAATAAACTGTTCAGCATTGCCAAAGGCATCAGAATAATAAGGATTACTCTAAGGTGTGTTTGCAATCCTCATCAACGAAACCACCTGAGGTTACACAGCAGCTCTCGTCAACATCCAGCCTCCCATACCGGCCACCGGGCCACGGACTACATTTGGTGACCGCCTAACCGCTTCTTCTTAGTGCAGATCTCCCTGTCTGCGACGTGTCTTTGCTTCGGCTAATGAACGAGTACTACAATGGCCCTATTTCTGCCTCAGCCTTGAGTTGGAGGCGTCGGACCCGATGATAGGCTATCCGTTTCTCTCGCGGTCGTCGGCTTCAGTTCTTGACAGGGCTACGACGTGTGAGGGCGACCGGAATCAGCCTATCAACGCGTAGGGCGCGAACAAAGAGAGATAACACGAAACGGCTCGAAAACAGACTCCCTGCGATAGCCTACCGAGGAGCTCTGCGGTCGTTTCGCGACGTATCCCTATAGGTCCGCCGAGTTGCCTGATTGTCTGGGTCTTCTTGCCTGACGGTTTGCTTACCCGCCTATCCCAGCCACCAGAAAGGCCTCTCCGGCTTATCTTCCACTTCCTCTTCCTCCACCGGTCTATCCCGAGGGACCCTGGCCAAGGTCCTTTCCAACTGGATTCCTGCAGCGCCCGCAATGCGGAAGAGGCCTTCAAGGTGTGCAGCGTGCTGGTGGATGTGCAGCTCCTCTAGCTTGCTGACTCTTCCTTCGATTTTAGAGCCCAATATTTCCAAATCTTTTCTCTCCTCGCCTAGTTCGTTGTACTCTGCGCAGACCTCGTCCATCTCGTCCTCCAGCATCTTGTAAATCTCGCGGACCTCGAAGGGGAAAATAGGCCAGTCATCTCCAATAATCGTATGCATGGCTTCCAATTCATCCCAGTGTCGGCAAATGAAGGCTTTGGCTTTGCGGAGGATGTCCTGGCATTCTCGTACGAAACGTCTTTCTTGGTCTCCCACGGCAGCTCTCTCGATCATGATGCGGTTGTAATCATCCTTGCTATTTTTGATCTCGTTTTCGATAACGCACTTCGCAGCAAGCCTCTGCCTTTGCGTGGCTTCGTCGATTGGCATCTGACGGATAGCCAGCCCATTCACCGGTCGCTCGACTCTGCGCACGAGCTCCTCGTGCTTCCGGCGAAGAGCATAATCCTTCGCCGACAGCGCCTGTACATTTCTCTTAGTAAGTGCGGCCCCTTCGCGATGCCGACGAAAGACTCACACGTTGCAGCATCTCCACCTCTTTCTACCACCTCATCAGTACATATCGAAGCGCACGGGATCGAAAACTCTACCGAATGCTCCTCCTTCAAGCCCCGCACTTCAGTCTCGTGCTGCTGCTTCATCCGCTCGACCTCCGCCGCGTGTTCCTTCTTCAGCCTATCTACCTCGGCGACGTGCGCTTCCGCTAGCGCCTCGACATTCGCACCCCGGGTGCGGCTGAGGACCTTCATCTGCTCGATGATTGATCCGACGTCGCAGAGCAAGGCAAGCTCTTCCTGTACGCGCTGCGTCAGTATCGCTCGTCCAGCACCAGTGACCGGACCCCCCTATACTTACGGACTGCGATTGGAGAACGTCCTGGAGGGTATCCATCATGGCTTGAGGTGGCATGATGAGCGAGTGTAAGAAGAGCCGACGCAAGGAGCCGGCGTGCGTTGAAGAGCAGGTGTCTTCCTCAAAAGGTAGGGAGAAAGATATAAGATCGATGTTTGTATCGGCCTCGGAGAAACGAAATGGCGCCGTTCTCATTCACTCTGAGCCGTCTTTACGTGACGAATTCAGCGCTTCCCGGGACCCATCTTCGGTAAGTGGCGGTCAGATTTCGGAATCGGTTTGAGATCGGCATCGTTGCGAACCATCCGCGCTGTTTCCTAAGGGATTACAGGCTTACCTGGAATGCTTTGACTTGTTGAGACGGGAGAAGAAAACGATGGAAGATTGAGAAAGCTGAAGGTGAAGGTAGGAAGACTATTTCGAGTGAGCGCATTCTCACTCACGATTGGAGCCTACGCCGTTGATATCCTGTTCCATACTAAGAATACATCCCTTCCACGGGTAGATATGGTGGCTGGGTGAGCTTTGATTGTAGGCGAGTAGGTCAGCGCAGAGGCGATCTGTTGGGCACGGGTCCACTCTCGGTTCAGCTTGAAATATGGATGAAACGCGTTCTTCCGTATCCCCAAGACATCACAGATGCAGAGTGCAGGTAGGCCAATGTTCGTGGCTCCTATCGGCATGATTCATTAAGTGAAGGGAGGGGGTTCGCTACGGTTGGACGGGGCGCAGATACACAAGAGACCCTTTAGGTAATAGCTATTGAACGATAATCCTGCAGATGCATTTCATCGGAGCTAGCGAGCACCCGCTGCCTAGGTGGGTACTGATTTACCCAGCTTGGCGGCTGGCGTTCTCAGGTTTCGTCGGATCGTAGGGATACTTCGCCGGACTCTCTGCCGGACTAGCCGTTCCGCCCGGTTTGGCTGATCTCGCTGTTCGATATCTGCGAGAAGCCTTCACTAACGCAGTGAGCATAAGAAAGAGAGCCAAAGGATTGGCGGCACACCTAGATCCTTCAAGCGAGTAGTTGCATTCGTTGAGAAGTTCTCATCAAGCGGGTATCCATCATTCTCTAAGGCTGACCTTAAGGCCTCCCTATACCTGTTCCGGTCTTTCGTGCTTATTTGCCCGAAAGGCTTCTCGCTGAGCTCAGGTATAGCCGTATAGACTTCCTTCGAAATTCGCTGCACGCTGTTAGTAAGTGAGAGCGTGAGGTTCGCATCATACATACAAGATAGCGGTCCTTATCGTTGTCTAGTGGCATCATGGGCGGCTGCTGCAGGAGGGGGTTGCGGGGGTTGCAGAGATGGCGGACAGAACCCAGAAGGAGTGATATGAGGTGACGTGGCGCAGAAGCGACACGAGCGCTTGGCTGCAGCCTGGAGCCAACCATCGCTCGCCGATCATCGCCCCGCCGATCATCGCCCCCCCCCCCCCCCCCCGCGCTTCCCCCCCATGCACCTGACCAACCCTATGCATCACCTCGCTACACCCGGCTACCCTTCGCTGCATCCTGCTACCCTTTGCTGCATCCTGCTACCCTTCGCTGCATCCTGCTACCCTTCGCTGCATCCTGCTACCCTTCGCTGCATCCTGCTACCCACGGGTTCCCTCGTCCGCTGCGCGCAACTGCTAATTTGTCACATCGCCTTGTCAAAAACATGGACGGGCAATGCGCTGGCGCAGGAGCTTTAAGAGCGGGCCTAGTTGCCTACAGGACCCAACATGCGCCCATTCTTGCTGCCTGGTTTCGTCTCGTTGCCTTCCTAGCTAATCGTCATGGTAGCATTCCCAACCCCTTCGCAAGAGCCGTCGGCAAGTCAAAGCTCCCCTTTTGGGGTGCGACACTCAGCCAACGCAGCCTACGACGAGTCGCCGAGGAATGAGCGCTATACGCTCGCCCATCAAGCTCACCCGGATGTAGTTAGCCTCACTGCATCCGAGCCCGCGGCGTCCCACCACTCCCGATCCACGTCTCGAACAATCGCCGCGGAGTTGGAAGCCTCACAGCCTTCAAAGACAGCTACGAAGGGATCGCGAACCGCCGTGGAATTAGACAGCTCGCCACGTGCAAACTCGACGTCGGAAACAGCAGTGTCCCGCCTCTCCCAGCCAACGTCTCAAACGGATAGGTCGCCTGGCTCTACGAGCATAGAGCTATCCCTCGTGGAATTAGAAGGCTCACTGCCTTCGAGAAGAGATGGGCTACCTCTTTCCACGGGGGGAGCTCGAGCTGCCGCTTCGGCGACCTCGAGCGCGCCCATCTCACGGCCCCCGCCTCTTCCGCCCCGGCGCTACGATCCATCTCAATTGTACGGCAGACACAACTCAAAAGTAACTAACACCGACGGCACTGTTGAAAGACTCCGAAACAGTGAGATCGTTCATCACCTTCATTTATGTTTCGAGGATACAGGCGGTTTTAACCTCGAGCTGGAGAGGCTCTGCCTTCGCAAGCTAGACTCGCGACTAAGGAAGTGCCCCAAAAATGACGTCTCCCATCTCCTAGTCCCGACAGCGGCCGGAATCACTAATCACTATGCCCACCAACACATCTTCGCGAAGCTAGGTAGAGTTAGAGGCGATCAGAAACAGCATTCCCGAAGCTCTGCCTTCCGTCCAGAGCACTTCCAACATTTAACGGATGAGGCAGCCTACTGCTAGGTAGCAAACCATCTTCAAAACTAGAAGATTCACCGACAACACATCACAGTGCTTCCGCGATTATTGTGTCGCAAAACGCCTTGGCAGTTTCTTCATATTGCATTCATGTTTGTCGAAGATCGCCTCTCCGACTTCTAGTGGGTGACAACTACTCTCCGGGCTAACGATCACGATTACTAGGATTCTCTTAAGCTTGCTTGTTTGCTAGAATTCTGTGTTAAGCGGCTTAGTTTTATTAAGACGATAGAGAAGCTTAAACTCCGTATAAGATCTATTTCTAATCTTCGTCTAGCTATTATATCTGTGTAACGGTTCGACTCGGCGCTGCGGCCTAACTCGGCTTCGCCCAAGTTACATAACCCTGCCTAGCGCCTTGGCATAGGCACCCTGTATATAGAGAGCTCTTAGAGTATTCTTTTACTTCTTACCTTTAGATAGCTAAATTTAACCTAACCTACTCTACTAGCGTCTCTTATTCTTATAGCTTATAGAGATAGTACTATCTATAGCTAACTTATCTAGCTAGATATTCTAGAATACTTATAGTAGTAGAGACTATAAAGCTAGCTCTTATATTATCTAAAGGTTATTATCTTTTTAGCTAGAGATAGTAGTATAATATCTAGCTAAACTAAGTAGCCTTATTAAGAAGTATTTACTAATAGCTATTCTAAGAATTAGAGCTATAAGAGCCTAGTTACTTATCTAGAGAATTAAAGCTATAAGAGCTCTAATTACTTATCTCTTAGTACTATATAAAACTACTAGTAGATCTAGAAAATAGTAGAAAGAAACTCTAGCTATAAGTTAAAAAAAGCTATTAAAAGCTTTCTATATAAAAGAACTTCTATAAAACTTCTATATATAAAAATTTCTCTCTATTTTAAAAAAACTAATAATTGTCTACTTTACTAGTAGAGCTAATAACTAGCTACTCTACTAGTAGCTAATATCTTTCTTTCTCTTTCTCTTCTCTCTCTTATAAGAGCTAGCTTTATAGTCTCTACTACTATAAGCGTCTTAGAGTATCTAGCTAGATAAGTTAGCTATAAATAGTACTATCTCTATAAGCTATAAGAATAGAGATACTAGTAGAGTAGATTAGGTTAAATTTAGCTATCTAAAGATAAAAAGTAGAAGAATACTTTAAGAGCTTTCTATATATATAGAATACTTATACTAAGACGCTAGATAGAGTTATATAACTTAGGCGAAGCTAAGTTAAGTTATAGCGCTAAGTTAAACTATTATATTATTTTCTCTTATAGAGAGAGCTTATTTCTAAGCTCTAAGACTCTTCTTACTTCTACTTAGTAATACTTACGTATTACTCTCTTATCTTCTTCTATCTATATAGGTTTTAAATTCTCTACTATTTTCTATAGAGTCTTCTTTCTTTTATATATCTTAATCTAAGTATTTAACTATAATAGAAAACTTAGCTTTTTTAGATAGACTATATAAAAGTCTCTTATTTTATAAAGAGCGTTAATAAAGCTAGTAGTATTATACTAGATAGAGTTAGAATTATACGTAACTTATATAGCTTAGTATTAAAAATAATTTTAATAAAGGTAGCTATCTAGAATCTTCTATATAGACTACTTAGAATTACTATTAACCTTAATAGGTAGCTACTCTAGCTCTACTTACTCTAGTAGTAGCTCTAAGACTTTTTATAGCCTATTAGTATAAAAGATATTATATATACGTATATAGATAAATAGCTAGAGCTAGAAAAAGTAACCTTTTATAGTAATAATTAGGTAAAAGCTATATATCTACTAGTTAAGCTTTATACTAGACTACTCTATTAAAAAGCTATAAGGTTTAATATAGATAAGATTATCTATAGTAAAATTAGATTCTTAGTACTTTTTATTTACCTAGAGTATCTACCTAGCTTACGCTTTTATAATATTACTTTGTATAATTTTAGTAGCTTTTTTTATAGCTTTATATTACTTCTTAGTAAAAATCTAAGCTTTCTAGCATAATAAATACTTATATAAAGTAGAGACCTTTATTATATACTTCTTCTAATTCTAGTAGTATATTAGTTAGTATCTAAATTTAATTTTATACGCTATTAGTTCTATAGTTTTATATAGTAATATAGCTTATACCTAGTCTATATAGAGTAGAAGGTCTAACTAATTATTCTAGTAGTAGTTAATAAATAAACATAGACGCTAATTAAGGTATTAATTAATAATCTTTATATTTCTATTAGTTTATAGGTAATACGTAGTAGAGAGCTTCTACTTAATTTTAGTAAGCTTATAGAGCTTATCTATAAAGATAAAAGTAAACTATAGACTATAATCTAATATAATAAACCTAGAAGAACTATATATACGCTAGATATATTAATAATATAGCTTTACTATACGTTAAGCTATAATTTTCTTATAGTAGAGTAGAGAGAAGCTCTACTTACTTAGCTAGTCTATAATAACGTACACGTAGTTAAATTCTTTCTTATTAAAGAAAAAGCTCTTAAAATCTATAAAGACGTTCTACTATACTCTCTTAGAGATAGATAGAGGTTTTAGAAGACCTAGTATCTTATTACGTAGCGTATAGCTCTAGTAGTAAGTCTTATATACTACTATATACGTATTAACGTCTTCTTATATATCTAGCTAGTAATATTAATCTTATAGTAACTAGGTAGTCTTCTAGTACTCTAAGTAGGTAATAATAGTTTTCTTAGTCTTCTCTACTATCTCTTCTATATACTAGTTATAATTAGCTTAAAGCTTATCTTATAATCTATCTCTCTATTACTTAAAGGTAACTATCTTACTATCTAATAGTAAGAGTAGGTCTAGAAACTTAGTAGAAAGCTACGTCTAGCTTTCTAAGCGTTATTTAGTTACTAGTAGTATAGTAGACGTATACGTAGTTAGATAAGAACCTAGAATTAAGTTATATAGTAGTAACGCGCTAGTTTTATATACGTATAGTATTTAATTTATAAAGTATATTATACGTTAAGTTAATAGAGTAGATAGTATTTAGCTTCTAGAGTAGAATTATAGTTACGCTTATAGCTATTAAATCTTTACTAAAGTAGTGTTTTTTTTCTACTATAAATTCTAATACTCTCTATATATAGTATCTTCTTTAGTAAATATATTAGTAGTAATCTAGTAATATATATAGGTTTATTATTTAAGTACCTAGTATATAAGTAATTAGCTAACTAATTTATTAATAATTTCGTCTAGCTTTTCTAGAAAAAGCTCTTAGAGCTTCTTTATAAAGGTAGATAGTATATAAGAGCTATCTATAGCTAATAATCTAGATATTACTAAGCTCTTATATAGCTATACTAGCTTCTACTTAAAGTTATTATTCTAATTCTTATTAGCTATTATATTATATTATTAAATAGGTAATTTATAATAATAATATTAATTAGAATAACTACTTAGTAGGTTCTCTACCTAGAATTTAAGAATTATTAAAGTAAAGAGGTACTATAAGACTAGAGTCTTACTACTAGAGTTACTTTATAAGAGTTTACCTATAGTATTTAAGTAGTTTAACTTAAGTATAGCTTCTTATTTAAGAAGTAGAAGTATATACTACTAGCGTAGTAGCTAATTATTAGCTCTACTAGTAAAGTAGAGAATTATTAATTTTTAGAATAAGAAGAAAGGTTTCTATACGTAGAAGTTTTATAAAAGTTCTTCTATACATAGAGCTCTTATAGCTCTCTTTAGCTTACTACTAGAAATATCTTTTCTACTACTAACTAGATCTACTAGTAGTCTTATATAGCGCTAGAAAGGTAAGTAATTAAAGCTCTTATAGCTTTAATTCTTAGAGTAAGTAATTAGGCTCTTATAACTCTAATTCTTAGTATAGCTATTAGTAAATACTTTTTATAAGACTACTTAGTTTAGTCTAATATTATACTACTATCTTTAGCTAAAGAGATATTAACCTTTAAATAATATAAGAGCTAGCTCTATAATCTCTACTACTATAAGTATTCTAGAATACCTAGCTAGATAAGTTAGCTATAGATAGTACTATCTCTATAAGCTATAAGAATAGAGACGCTAGTAGAGTAGATTAAGTTAAATTTAGCTATTTAAAGATAAGAAGTAGAAGAATACTCTAAAAGCTCTCTATATATAGAGAGCTAAGCGCTAAGACGCTAGATAAGGTTATATAACTCTAGTAAATACTAAGCTAAACTATTATACTAGAAATTTAGTACTCTTAATAGTAAATTCTAACTTCTTAATATCTACTTATAATCTAGCTTTATATAATTAATTAAGTATCTAGATAATATAAGTCTTATACTTAAAAGAATTCTCTAAATAAATAAGAATATTATTAATATATACTATATAGAAATTATCTAGTAATCTATATAATACCTTATTAATATATTATTAAAAGATAGCAAGGCTATTATAAAGTCTAAAGAGTAGAATATAATACTTATAGTTACTATATTATATATAAAATAAAGTTAGGTTTTCTACTAACTTATTAAGCTAGATTTTATAAAAAGTCTACTATATATTTAACTTTATAAAAACCTTTATATATAATAAGTAGGTAAGTATTTCTTAGATAAAAGAGATAGAATAGGTATCTTTTTTTTATAATAGCGTTAAACTTTTAGTAGTTAACGTAGAACCTCTATTCTTCTTCTAGCTTTTTAGTAAATAGAACTAGTAATATATATAATACGTTACTATAGATAATAAAGCTATAGTAGAGGTAATTCTCTAGATAGTTATATATAAGCTATAGGTACTCTAGTAATATACTATAGAGAGAGCTATTAGTTAGTATATTTTCTTCTATAAGCTTAATATTATAATCTACGCCTTCTCTATATAGTAGTAATAAATTAGAATTTGTTTTAGAGAAATAAGCTATAGTTACGCTAGCGTATTCTAGAAATAGAAGCTTCTAAGTAATTAACTAGTAGAGCTTCTTCTTAGAATTAGTAGTAGAGGTTTTCTTTTTATTAGTAATAAGCTAATTAACCTTATAGATACTAAGGTATCTAATTATAACGTTT